TTTTAAAGATTGTCCATACTTTAAAAAAGTTTAGTTTTGCTTAAGCTGTCAATATTTTTCATTGTAATTTCTATGATTCTATTATCACTTAAATTGTTATCTTACCTTGATATTGGAATTATATTTTCTATTCTTTCATTCTTCGATGACTTTGACATTGGAAAAATAATATACTCTTTTGATGAAGAGAAATAAAGTATCTATCATATTTTAGATTTAATTAACTAGTTTAGAAAAAGATTGTTTTGGGCTAATTTCAAATAAATTAATTCTCAAACTCATCTCTTTGAAAGATGTTATGGAATCCATCATAAGAGAAAGTTAAATTTTACTTTTATGTATGTTTGGCCATGTGGAAGGACTTTTAAAAGTGTGCAACATGACATTTTAACTTTTAAAAACATGTAAAAAATTACTTTAATTTTTTCATTTCTTGGAGAAAATACTCATAACACAGAGAGAGGTAAAGTTAGGAGTTTGAGGTATTTTTGTCCAAAAAATAAAGAATTTGGACAATTAAGTAACAAAATGACTTTTTTTACACATTTTTAAAATTATAAGGCATTGTATTGCACACTTTCAAAATTTAGAATTTAAATTGTCCATAACTAAATATACGGGAAGATAAAGTAAATATTTCCCTAAAACTAATGTGGACAGTAATTGTTGGGTGAACCATTTGCATTAGTATTATACGAGACTAGACTAGGAAATGACTAACAATTTTTATTTTTTTTATGGTAATAGTCATATTCATGTGTACTTAATTGCAAATAATCTATTGGGTCTCTACTTAGTTAAATTAAAAAGTTATCATAAAATAATTTTAAAATTTGATTGTTTAAAAGAAGTAAACTTTATTATGAAGAAATTAAGATTAATCTTTTTTGAAGTGTGTTGATATTCATAATTTCATGCAAAGCTTCTCTCATGTATTTACATGTTATGTTGTTCAAGAAGTTAACTCAATAATTGACAAATTAGCTTATTTTGTACTTTTATTTAAAGATTTCTTTCACCATTTAAATGATCTCTCATGTGTAGTTTCTACACTTTTAGTTATAGTCAATTTACATATTTTGTAATTTGTTTTTCTAATTTTCTTTTGCTTTCTTTTTTATCAAAAAAACATACATTTATGTTTATTATTTAAATATGATATGTTAAAATTTAAATTTTAAAAAAAAAATTAAAATTGACATTAATTAACCATCAAATACGTAAATTAACTTAAATTAATGGTATATCTTAACTAAACATATTGAATATAGTTTCATTGTAACATATGTGTGCTCTTAATCAACTAAGGAGGACTCCAATTGTTGAAGTAGTTGTCATCAACGTGCTTTCATCACAATAGACTTAGATGTTGAAATTTCAGTCCATATTAAAATTTAATCTATTTTATATTATGTTTAATAAATATAGTTTCTAGTTTCTTTAGAAGCTTATAACTTATTGACTTAGCCAATAGAAATAATTTTATAGCTTTTGAAAGTCAATTTTTCAAAAAACTATTTAAAATATAGTTTAACTTCAAAAGCTGTTACACAATTAAAAGTTAATGTACATGTGTCAATTTTAGTTTCTTTTTTTCTTTTCATGTTCACAACAATTTTAATCAATTTTTTAAATTTTTTTTTTATCTATTCTTCCATCTTTTCTATTCAAATGTATTTCATATTAAAAAGAACACATAACTTATAATATTTCATGTTCAAATATATTTAAAGAGAAATTTTATTTTTCTATATGATTATTTAATTGATTATTACAAATAATAAAATAAGTAATAATTAATTTTAATATTATGTTAATATACTATTACATATATTTTTTAAGTCATTTAACATAAATAAGTTAGTTGTAAAGCTAGTTTGCCAAACAATTTTGATTCTATAAGCTACTTATATAATTATAAACTTTTATTTATAAATTTACATCTAGAAGCTGAAACAATTTTGATTTTCTTACTGTTATTATTAAGTTAATTATGTTATTAGATTTATATTTAGTTGGACTATTTTGTGAAATAGTTTCAAAGACAAATAATTTCAAGTCTTCTAAAATCTTAGGTAAGACAGATCCTTTTTTTCATTATTTATTTTATGTATGTTTTATGTATGGAGAAGTTGGTTATCTTTATTGAAAAGGTGAATGTTACAATTTGAATTCCAATTTATTTAAGCAAGAGTGATTCAAATATTTTCCATTTGTTGTTGGCATATGATGTGTTACTATTTTGCTGAGATATTAATCTTCCACTATACCTTGTTCTTGACACTTTCCAACAGATTTCTAAATTGCTTTAGGGGATCAAGGCTAGCATTGAGAAATCTATGATTATGTGCTCCAAGGATGTATCTAGGACGATTAATGAAAATGTCTTTGATTTTTAGAATCATTTGTGATCTTGGTAAATATTTGGATTTTCCACTTTTGAAAGGAAGAGTAAAAATAAATGTCTCAATTCCTTCATTGAGAAAATACAAGGTCACTTATATATCATCATAGAAGTCAACTATTAAATAGTGTTTGAAAATTTTGTTCAGCCAAATTGGGGTTGCCATTCTTAAGTTGTTGAGGCTTACAAGTACTTTCTATAGTTGCTCGTATTAACCATGAAACTTGAAAAAAAATAAAAACAGCCAATTCAAAATAATCTATTATTGGATAAAATGTTCTTCTGTAAAGTTCAATAATTTTAAAATTTCTACCGTTTAATTATCTTTTCATTTCTGAACTTGAAATGGTAATGGTAGTAGGCCATTTGGGATTGATCTTAAATTTATTAGTGTACCGTCGTATCATACTCATATTTTAAATCGTATGCTAATGCACACAATTTGGAACATGCATGGCCAAGAAATCAACTAAATAATAGTGAACATTTAAGGCGTCGATTGAGGATTTATAACGAAATTGATAATGAATCCTAATATACTGATAGAAGAATTATAGTCTTTGACTTAGAAAAATAGTTTGGCCAATGGTCGAAATACCGGGATTCATGCACTAATATATGGAGCTTACCAGTAGGGCATGGTGAAACACATTCTGAACTCACATGGTTACATTTGGTATTAATTAGTCTCCCCATTTCCTTTTCCAATTATGATCATCTTAATTCAAAAATTACTCTCTCCTCAAAGCATAAGTTGCTTATCGTAGTATACACTTAATTTTTATTAGAATTTAAAGTATGTGTATTTTTAAACTTTTTCTATATATATATGTATATCATATTTTGATCGATGTTCTATATTTACTCCACATGCTAATTCCATCTTATATATTAAAACTTTTTATTAGTATTTATTTAAATATTAAATATTATCAATTTAATGTGAAATTAAATTTTATTTTTAAATAAATCAAATTTAAAAATTAATATTTCATTATATATTTTTATTTTAACATCTAATATATATTTTTAAATATAAATAAATATTTACAAACTTTTAATTTATCTAAAATTTAATGCAAATAATTTATAAATATATTATTTTATTCAATGATTTAATTAATAAAATTTGATATTTAAAAAAGTTATTGACCAAAAACAACTTTTCTCAGAATTATTCCCTTGATCTCTACCCTATTTATTAATACCTATTGATGATATATGTCAATCACTCCCTTGATGTCTACCCTATTTATGGATACTGATTGATAATATATGTCAATTTTGACTAGCTCCACTTTCAAAACGGTCTTCTGAAATTAAATTTTTTGCATAGTCATTGATATAAAAAATTATAGTAATGAATGTAATGTTAAAAGATATTACCCCTAAAACTACTTTATATAATTTCTATTCATGGTCAATCAATAAATTTCAATAAAAGAGTCATAATTAAGGGAAATGTTAGTCATTAACAATGAATGCTATATTAAATGGTATATTATTTTTGAAATGTCTTCTATATTTAAAAAATCCATTCATTAAATAGAATATATTATTATTAAAAATGTTTTCTATATATAACTTTTGAAATATTTTTTATATAAAATTAAGTCATTAAATGGTATTATTTTTTAAATATTCTATATATAAAATTCATTCATTAAATGACATTATTTTTTGAAATGCTTTTATATAAAAAATTAGCTAATAAATTATATTTTTAACGTATCTTTTAATATTAAAGTCGGTCATTAAAGAATAATAATTTTTAATATGTTTTATACAAATGATTATTCATAAGATTAAATTATGTGTAATAAGTTTTTGTGGGCAGGACTTCCTACATAAAATTAAATGATTAATTTTCTAAATTGATTGAGAAAATGTAGATGGTCAAGCAAGTTATCAATGGGCCAAAATGTGGAAGGTCAAGCAACCTCGGTTCTTCGAAAAGATTAACAAACATCCACCAAAAACAATGAAAAAATATTAACAAAGACATAGCATCACTAAAAATCGTAAAGACCAATGAATATTTGGTGACTAGTATTCCTTAAAAATTGAGAAACATTCAGCATCAGGGTTATTCCCTAAAGATTGAGAAATAATGAAATAATAAAGAACACAAATTATTTTACGAAATTTGTATATTATAATTTCATTGGCAAACGAAATCTATCATCTCTCCGCTGTGAGTAACTTCGTTTGTTGATTTCAAATTCGTTTTATCTTTGTATCTGATAGTTTTTAATTCTCTACTCTTTAGCGTTGCTGTAACGATAATAATGATAAACGTAGTGCCTCATTGTTTACCAACCATAACCGAAATTATTTACTTTATCATACATAAATCAGTTTTTATGAATATACACAAACAGACCCGTACTGAAAAATTGAAAACCATAGGCGTTTCTCATGCGTTATTTGCTAGGAAATAGTAAGACTATCATGAAACTGAAAAAACAAAGAAACAAAAGAATGTTCAAGTGTGATTGGAAACTGAAAGAAACAAAAGTATACGAAATATGCAACAAAACAATTTTATATTATTAATTCTTAAAATTAAAATTAACTAAGCATATCAATTTTGCAGCTAATAGGAACTTGTGGGTGGTATACTCTGTTCATAGCTAAAGAAATTATCAGGATCAACCTTGGTTTTGACACTCACTAATCTATCAAAATTTTCTTTAAATAACTTGCTTCCATAGGTGCGACCCTCGTCCAAGCTTGTTCCAGTACTTGGATGTTTGGCTCCAATATCAATATCCCTATAATTAAGAAATGCTTCCCTTGGCGAGTTTGAAACATATGGGGTCATGAATTTATGAAGAGACCTTGAAAAGTGCAAATAACGATCACTGGCTTTAGCATCATCTTCAGTCCAAAACGTGAAGTACTGAATCAAGAACAAGTTCCCTGCTCTATGAGGAAACGGGGTTTCTGATGGTGCTATCTGCTCCATCTTTCCTCCGTAAGGGTTCCATTGCATCCATGTAGTCTTGCCCTTAATCATCCAATTCCAAAGGGAATTTAAAGCTTCCTTGGGAATGGGCTTCTTCACATAATCTGATTTGGCTTTAAAATAGACTGAAGGTGGCTCCTTTGGCACTGATAGCAAAGCTTCTATAGGAGTATCAATTGGTAGATCTGCCCAAAAAAGTGTCGTGTTGATCCAAGGCATTTGGGTGCAATCACTTTGCTTCAAACCCAATTCAGGGAATTTCTCATTCACCAAAGGCGCAAGCCCATCAAATTGCCCCAAGAATAGGCCAATGAAAGAAAGTTGCACTGTTCCATTGACCACATTAACTTGCACTCTTATGAAAAGATCTTCATGTAGTTCTGCTGCAACTTGTTGCCACTTGTAAACAACATCAGTTGCGCCTTCTGCCACTGTCTTTTTCACTCTGAACACAGTCACTTCCTCAGGCACAGAAACCAATTTGATCTTCCATGCAAGAATGACCCCAAAACTAGCCCCACCACCTCCTCTTATGGCCCAAAATAGATCCTCCCCCATTGACTGTCTGTCATGGATAGTACCATTGGCATCAACCAATTTGGCATCAATGATATTATCCACAGAAAGACCATATTTTCTCATCAAATTTCCATACCCACCACCAGAAAAGTGGCCACCAGCACCCAAAGTAATGCACACCCCTGCAGGGAAAGCATGCACCTTGCTTTTCTCTGCTATGCGGTAATAAACTTGACCCAGTGTTGCACCAGCCTGAACCCATGCAGTTGCACTTGCAGTGTCCACATCGACTGATTGAAGAGGAAACATGTCAAGTATGACAAATGGAACATCTGAGACATATGAAAGTCCTTCATAGTCATGCCCACCACTTCTGATTCTAATCTGAATGCCGTTTGCTTTGGCACATGTAACTGTTGCCTGCACATGACTCTCATGTTGAGCAGTGATGATTACTAGAGGTTTGGGTGTTGTTTCTTTTTTGAATCTGTTGTTGTGAACGTGCATGTTCAAGATAGATGAGAATGATGTGTTATCTGAAGTGTATAGAACTTGAGAGATACAGGGGTTTGAAGGGTTAGAATTCGGTGTTTGTGAAAGACAAAAGAGAAATTTTTTGAAGGGTGAACATTGTGAAGTTGCTAATGTAAAACACAGCATGATCGTTAGGGATGTTAGGAGAAAAGAAAACAACCCCTTCGTTTCCATGGTGGAATTTGATCCCAGTGTGCCTTGCTGTGTTGTGCATTGCAGTCAATTTATAATGAATGCTATGTTTTTTTTTTAATATTAATATTAAGAAAAACTCTTGCAGAGTATTAATGATAAAAGGAAAAAAACCTGATTTATACTTATTGAGTGTTTATAATCTTACATAAATTAAAAAGCAGTTATGCTACACCCTAGCATCCGAATCCGATATAGACATCAAAACTAGATATGAAAATAATATTATTAAAAAAATGTTAAAATTTGCATTAAATAAAAAAAAATAACATACTAAATGGATTTCTTTTCCTTTTTAAAAGTTTTAATTTTCATTTTAGTTAAGTCTTTTAAAATATGAAAATACCAAATACTTTTTAACAGTGTTTGAATTATCAACATCCCATTAAGGATCATTTATTTAAATTGTTAATTGTATAATGAACATTTTAATTTGTAAAAGGCTTAAATAAGTCACTAGTATTTAAAAATATCATGTCTTTTGATTTTATTCTCTATAAAATTTTATTCAATTCTAGTTAAAATTGAATAAATTTTTTATAAAAATAAAAATAAAAATGATATTTTCAGAAATTAATAACTTTTTAAATATTTGTAAAACAATAATGGATTCAATGATTCCAAGAGATGTTTAAAAGAGTCTGTATAAAATTTACTTAGACTTATAAAGAGACCTATAATTATTTTCAAGTTTTGACTAGTTTATTTTAGTCAAATATCTGATATAAAAGCCTGCGAACGTAAACTTTTTAAAACCACTTTAATAAATTTTAGTATTAAAAGTTATAAAATAATATTTTTCTCATTAATGAATTAATTAAATTATTTATCTGCATGTTTAAAATAGTTTTCCTTAAAATAAATATTTTTTTAAGCACCTCATAAACCTATTTCTTGAAATAACTCAAAACAAATACAATAATTAATATTTTGCATTTAAGTTTGAAAAACCTCGTTAATAAATTGTTCGAAATGGGGGGAAATTTTTATTCATGGCAGTCAAGCTAAGATAATTAGAAAGAAAATGTATTATCAATTGATTAAGGAAAAGTTTTATGGAGATTTGTACTTTTTATAAATTTTGTTTATTTTAATAAATTTTATATATTTTAATAAAATGTTTTTTTTTTATGTATGGTAATAAATTTTATGGTCTAATTCATGATATAAATTCCTTATACAAGAAGAATTTATTGAGTAACATTTTTTTAATGTGTACCCAAAAACACATTAAAAATAAATAAATAAATAGTAATTTTTTATTAAAATTATACCATTTAATTTTATTAATGTATTAAATTATGTAATTTTTTTATAAAATATAAGAGTTTTGTTTTGTTATATGGTTAGTATAAAATATTTTACATTATTAATTGATTAAAATACACAGTAAATAATATTTTTATAAAATAATTAATAATTATTGTTAATTTGATACTTTATGAGTAGATGAAAACATTGAATTTGTAAATATATAATATTATTATATGAATAAATTTTAAAGTTAATTAAAATATATCGATAATGTACAGATTGTTACACTATCGATCATTAAGATGAAGACATTTTGATATTTAAAAAAAAACAAAATTAAGACATTTTTTTATGTACTTAAAATATGCTCTATAAAAAAGAAAATTACTAACACAAAAAAGAAATGTTATAATAATATTTTAAATAATATACTTAAATACCTGTATAATTTATTAATTTTAAATTTAAATTTTAATACCTATAATTACATTAAATATTTATAAAAGAATTTTATTACTCACAGAGTCATAGTAATCAAACAGAATGACTTTCGTACAAAATACTAGTGATAAAAAAAATTAATAAATATACTAAGTGAAAATGTGTTGACATTTATGATATATAAAAAAAGAAAATTACTAACAAATTTATTTCTAAACAACGGTTGTATATAGAAAAGAAAACTGCTATAAAATGTTGATGCTCAGAAAAAAAAAACTATTAATAAAATTATTGTTATATAACAATTATTGTCATTTATTTTTTAAATTAGTTTTAATATCAATTAATTTTAGATATGTTGACATTTACGATCTAATTTTATTTAATATTATTTTACAATATTAGTAGTCAAACAATATTATCTTCTCTATAAAATACTTGTGATAAAAAAAAATCAAAATTGTCTTTTCTCCAAAATATTTGTGATAAAAAAATTAACAAATATACCAAGTAAAAATGTGTTGACATTTACAACAGTTACTCTAATTTATTTTTTAATTAATTTTAAATATGTTGACATTTATGTATAATTTTATTTAGTATTGTTTTACAATATTTTATTTTATAATAATATTTTAAATAATATAATTAAGTACAAGTATAGTTTATTAATTTTTAATTTAAATTTTAATAAATATAATTACGTCAAATACTTAAAAAAAGTTATTGATTCCAGTAGTCAAACAGAATGACCTTTTGTACGAAATACTTGTGGTAAAAAAAATTACCAAGTAAAAAGTTGTTAACATTTATGATATATAAAAAAGAAATGAAAAACAAATTTATTGCTATACAACAGTTATTGTCATTTATTTTCCAAATTAATTTTAATATCAATTAATTTTAAATATGTTGACTTTTATTATCTAATTTTACTTAATATGGTTTTAAAATATTTTATTTTATAATAATATTTGAAAAAATATAATTAAATACAAGTATAATTTATTAGTCTTAAGTTTAATTAAATAGTTAAAAAAAATTTCTGCTTACAATAGTCAAACAAAATTACATTCTCTCCAAAATAATAGTGATAAAAAAAAAGTAACAAACATATCAATTAAAAATGCGTTGACATATATGATATATAAAAAAATATAATTACTAAAAAATTTATTGCTATATAATAGTTACTGTTATTTATTTTTCAAACTAGTTTTAATATTAATTTTAAATAGGTTAACATTTATGATATCATTTTATTTATTAATTATATTTTAAATAATATAATTAAATGCAAGTATAATTTATTAATTTTAAATTTAAATTTTAATAAATATAATTATGTTAATTATTTAAAAAAATAATTTTATCATTCAAAATAGTCAGTGAAACAAATTAAGTAAGATCACTTCTTGTCTAAGAACGGTTGAATTAAGTTTATCCTATCTCACTTGAGTGAGACTCATCTCGTTTGAGTAAAATTATCTTGAAATTATGTGATTTTAGACTCTCACTCTCACTTAAGTAAGTCTGAACGAGAACTCCTGCACCAGAAATATATTAAACACTCATCCATTCAATTCAAAACATATTCTAATATTACTCCATACTAAAATAATTTATCAAATAATAAATAAATAAAAAGAGAGTATTATAGAATGCATTAATTTTAAATTTTAATTTTAATAAATACATTACCTTATGTACAAAATATGTGTGGTAAGAACAAAATTAACCAATATGTCAAGTAAAAATATTCTCACTTATTTTTATGAGAATAATGTATAACTATATTTAAATTATTAAAATTAATAATTTATATAGTTAAGAGTAAAAATAAGAAAAACTCTCACTTATATTTAAAATTGTTAAAATAAGATGAAACTAAACATCGATAAACGTTAAATTTTTTAGGAGAGGGAATAAGGCTTGTGCTTTTTTTCATGTGACAAGTTTAAACCCTCCTCTTTGAATGACCATCTAACTTTACTATTGATCTATCAAGGGACAGAAAAATGATAGATGATAATTTCAACATTAAGTAAAAGTCAACGTATTTCAATGAATACTTTCACAACAAAAAATCCCTAAATATTATTTTATATACTCCACATTTTACCTTTGATTCTTTACTTATATTTCTTTAAAATTAATTTTTAGATACGTGTAGTATTTTCAAAATGATTATTCTAAAATTTTATAGATAAAAAGTTTTTATGAAAAATATTATTATTATAATTCCACTATTTTAAATATGATTTATTATTAAAAAAATCTTTTTTTCTTTAACTAATGTCGTTAGAGCATTCGTTACCAAGGCTTTAAAACAAATAATTATAGCACCCTTTAAAATCATTGAGCCAAACTTGATGTACTAAGGTAAATAGATTTGAGGGAGAGTATTGGATAACAAGTCAATGTGAATGGAAGAAAAAATAAATAAAGGGTTTATTTATATATAATAAATAACTTGAGAAACATATTACTGAACAATCATTTGCAACTAAAGGGAAATAGGTGGTATACTCTGTTCATGTCTGAAAAAGTTCTCGGGATCTACTCTGGATTTCACTCTCACTAATCTTTCAAAATTACCTCGGAAATACTTGCTCCCATAACTCTCAGCAATGTCCATTCTTGTTGTATTACTTGGATGATTGGCACCTATATTAAGGTCCCTATAATTCTGAAATGCCTCCCTTGGCGATTGTGAAACATATGGGGTCATAAATTCATAGAAGGACATTGAAATATTCAAGTAATGATTAGTTGCCTGAACCCCATCTTCCCCCCAAGATGTCAAGTACTCAATCAAGAACAAGTTCCCTGCTCTGTGAGGGAATGGAGTTTCTGATGGTGAAATCTCATGCATCTTCCCACCATAAGGGTTCCATTCCATCTTCACACTCTCACTTTTAATCATAAACTCCCACATTGATTTAAGAGCAGTTTTTGGAATGGGCTCCTTCACATAGTCCGACATGGTTTTGAAGTTGTATGAAATGGGCCCTTTGGGCACATCAAGCAATGCCTCAATGGGGGTCCCAATTGGATAATTGGCCCAATATAGAGTGGAGTTGACCCATGGCATTTCAGTGCAGTCACTTTGCATCAAACCCAATTCAGGGAAGCTCTCTTTCAACGAACTCAACAGATTATTAGTCAGTCCCAAGTATATGCCTACAAAAGTAACTTGAACGATCTTTTTACCTTTTTTATTACCATCAACCACTTCATGCATAGCCCTTATGAAAATATCTTCATGTAGTTTTGTCGCAATTAGTTGCCATTTGTAAACAATATCAGTTGCCCCTTCTTCCAGTGTTTTTCTCACTTTGAATACAGTCACTTTTGGAGTTACAGGAACCAACTTGATCCTCCATGAAAGAATGACACCAAAACTAGCCCCACCACCCCCTCTTATAGCCCAAAATTGATCCTCCCCCATTGACTTTCTGTCAAGTATATTACCATTGACATCAACCAACTTTGCATCAATTATATGATCCACAGTAAGACCATATTTTCTCATCAGATTTCCATAGCCACCACCAGAAAAGTGACCCCCAGAACCCACAGTGGGACACACCCCAGCAGGGAAAGCATAAACTGAACTTTTGTTTGCAATATGATAGTAAACCATACCAAGTGTTGCTCCAGCTTGAACCAATGCTGCTCCTTTTTCTATGTCCACATCAACTGACGCAAAATGAAACATGTCAAGTACAATAAAGGGCACATCTGATACATAGGAAAGGCCTTCACAGTCATGGCCACCACTTCGGATTCTAATCTGAATGCCATTGCTTTTGGCACATGTGATAGTGCCTTGCACATGAGACTCGTGTAGAGGAGTTACAATAGCCAATGGTTTTGGTGCTGTTGGCGCAGAAAATCTATTATTATGTGTGTGCATGTGTAAAATAGATAAGAATGAGGAGTTGCTTGGGGTGTAAATAATGTTTGATATTGTAGGAACTGAAGGTGGAGAATGGTTTGAAAGACAATGGAGAAAGTTTTCAACGGGTGATGAATCTGAAGTTGCCCCAAGAAGAGAAAGTACAAAGGCTAGAGTTGAGATGAGAAATGAAAATGGTGTGGTAGTGTCCATGATTGTTGGTTATGAGTGTGTGGGATTATCAAGGCAGAAACTAAAGAATATGGAAAAGTTCTTGAGATTTTATTCTTGATAATTACTGTGAATAAGTAGTCATTAACTTTTAGCATATTTATAGCACTTATTACGAATATGGAAAATATCTTGAGATTTTCTTCATAATTACCGTGAATAAGGCATTAACGTTTACCAAATTTATAGCATTGATTACGAATATGGTAAATGCCTTTAGATTTTCTTGATAATTACGGTGAATAAGCCATTTACTTTTAGCATATTTGTAATATTGATTGTAATTTGATGCCAAAATATGTAATATTTGGAGGTTTCAGTTTTAAGTCTAAGATTACGTTACCATATCAAACTATCAATGTGTAATTTTGGAATAGGCTAAAAGGCTTTATTTAAAAAGAGTTTAAAATTAATAATAAAATATTTCATATGTTTATTATATGGTTTTTCAATAATCTAAAAATTCAATATTAAATATTTTAATTTTTTAAATATTCAATGTTTTATTAAAAAAATTATTTTTTATTCAATACCTTGTAACAAAATAAATAAGAAATGTGATAGGAAAATAGGTATAAAAAGAGCTAAAAAATATAGTTAATACATAATATCACTTAAAAATTATGTAATCTTATGTTTACTCAATAAATTAAGATTAAATATAAATGGAGATAACTTTTAGAATAATATGTATTTACTTACATAAATAACTCTTGAAAATTAACATGGTTATAAAAATAAATTAAGATGATAAAAAAAATTATTAGTAATTTTTTAAAAGTTATTTGAAAACTACTTATACAAGTAAAGATACTCTAAACTTATTTCAGTGATACGTCGAAAGATAAAAAAGTAAAATAATAAAAATTTGTCTTTTTATTTATACTCTATTTTATTTCTAAAAAAATATTTAATAATATATAATATAAAATAACAATTTTGTGAGTGTGATTTTTTTATTTTAAATATATTTTAATTTTTAATACACATTTTTAACTAAAGAATATATTAAATTAGTAATAAAATTACTTAAATCATTATCATTCAAATTTAAATATAATTTAAAGTAAAGATACGATTTTGTTTTCGATAAAAATGATAATGTGAGAGTTTCGTTCAATTTTTGTGATGTTATTTTTATATGATTTTAACTAATTTTTTTCAACATTTTATGGTGAGTTTTTCTATTTTTTTTTTATATATAATCAACTTCTTACTATATAGGTGGAAATTAAGACTTATTTAGTGATATATTAAAAGATGAAAAAAATAATGTAATAAAAATTATTTTTTTGTTAATACGATATTCTATTTTTATTTTTATAAAAAAATTAATTAATAATACATAATATAAAACAATAATTTTATAAATATGTGTAATTTTTTATTCTAAATATATTTTAATTTTTAATGCACTTATTAAATAAAGAATAAACTAATCAATAAAATCATTTAAATTATGATCATTTAAATTTGAATATTACATGAAACAATATTTTACTTTTAATAAAATGATAACTAGAGTTTCTTTCAATTTTTTTAAGATTATTTTTGTATAATTCTAATTAATTTTTTATTTTTACATTTTATGGTGAGTTTTTTATTTTTTTTATATATATAATTAATTTCAATAATTTTTTGTTAAATGTAATAGCCAATTTTTTTTCCGTTTTAACATTCAAGTTAATTGCACTAACAATGCTAATTACGGTAATACTTTTTATCAACAATAAACTTATAAGGTAACTACTATCATTCATTACTCAAATTAATTTAATAATTTTTCAATATTAAATAATTACAAATATGCTTACATTTATAAGATGATTTTATTTAATAATATTTTAAGAATTTATTTTATAATACTATTAAATTAAAATAATATTTTAAAATAAAAAAACTCATAAGAGTTAAAATAATATTTAAATTAAAAGAGATATTACTCTTGTAGTTCTCAAACGTTCGTGAAAATATTAACAGAACATGTTAAGTGTCAAATAAAAAAACTTCTAACATGATAGTTAACAAATCGATGAAATCATTGATCCTACCATTCATAAGAAAAATAAGGATATTTGATGATTACAAAGCAATTTAAAATTATCTATGCTGGAAGTACAAAAACAGGTGTCAAAATTTTGTCTGTGAAAAATTAAATATATATTTTAACTAAAAAGTTATTATATCTTGTTCTTTTATTATTCCAATAAAAGGGGCCTTAAATAACTTTTTATATAGAATTTCAATTCTGGAATTTGTTTAGTTTTCATGAGCATATAATTAATTATATAGCTAAGGTTATAGTTAGAGGTAGGTATATAAGGTAGCTCGCCCCACATAAGTGTGTGGATAAACAGACTAATCCACTTTAACCTGCATCACATTCTAGGTGGGTTTATTTGCATCACAAATACTTGCTTACAGTATAACTGTAGGGTGGATAACCTGAAATGTTAATATTTGTTTGACTTCTGAAAAATTCGATGGTTCCTCAGCTTACTGATATGGCGATTAGTTAACCTTTTTTCTTCATTTTCTTTTTTAAATTAAAGGTATATTGCTTGCACTTTTCAATCAATTATATTCCAAATTACACCTTAAAGTTTAAAAATGTATAAAATACCTTACAATTTTTTTTAAATAACAACAAAATATTAAAACCTTATAGAATTATTACGTGACTTGCATTCATACCAAAAAATAAAATGGGTGAAAGCATTTTTTAATTGAACAGTGATACGTACACAGAATTTTACTCACAAACTTGCCAATTAAGCTATTGCTATAATTGAAAGTTAGGGGAGAAATGATATTTTAATAAATTAGAAAAAGATAGAAAGAAAAGAGAAAGGGATGATAAAGTGGGTGATATGATGGGAAGAGATTAAGAAAGAATTGAATTGTCGCTGCAAAAACCTGTTGTGATAACAGTATAAAGTACACAAAGTTAGACATAACTACGTGACAAGTAATAAATTTACATTTTGGGTGGGTGGGGGGGGGGGGTGGCGAGGAGGTGGTGGGGTGGGTCCCAATTTCTCTTTTCAGGGTTAATTAATTGATGAAGATCAACTATGATGAAGTCACATTTTACAAGATCAGCACTGCGCATGAGTTACTGAATTTCACTGAATATTCCTTCTGATACACAAATATATACACACACACACACACACAATTGTTACTAGCTGAATTGGCGTCTGTCAAAACTAATTCAAAATAAAATGTGATTCTGACTAATTAAATTAATGCGGTAATTCAGATCAAGGCTTACCACAATTCCAAGTGGGAACCAAATTGAAGTCATAAAGATCAACTATTATTTAGATATAAACTTGACCTTACTTGAAAATACATCAATTAGTCATTCACAAATTTGAGAGTGTTTTTTTAACCATTGGCCCACACAGGTATGAAAACCTCGGTTCCAAGTGAAGATGTTCAATTGGTATTGCCAAGATATTCAACCAAAAGAAAAGGCATAGTATTCTAGTCTTCCTAGTTCCACAGATGTTCAAACAGGCTAAAGTATCTAAATCCAAATTTCCCTCAAATTTTGGTGGACCACGATGAAGATGATATGTCTAATTGCTTCCCTCCACTTTATGGTCGCTAGTGGGGTACTGTTAGCTACTGATAACGATTTCTCTATCAAAAAGAGAAATATTCCCCAGATTTATATTATAAACATTCTGTAAATATTTCAAGGGCCATCAAAGTAGAATGAATCGATTACAAAAGATATAGAAAGGAAACAAAGTAAAACAAAAATATTAAGGAACAAAGTTAATCAAATCATAATAGTGGAAACTTTACTCATTTTATTAGAGAAGCACAAAGAGTATGCAACATTGATTGTGCACACTCAAATTTATCAGATTAGAAGGGCCTAGGGTTTCCCTCCAAACAAAATCACAAGAATCTCTCCCACTTTCTCTTTGCCTACAGATGTACAGAAAGATTACAAAACAGGCCAAAGCAATCTTCAATGAAGGATTTGAAGATATGGCTGGTAAAGATTCCTAGGTGTGTGAAATCTACCCATTCAGTATACACACAACAGATACTATCTATATACAAAAACTTTCCAATGCAAGAGAAACTCTTTGGTGCTATCATCAGGTGCTCACTGTTCTTCATTACTGGAAGCAAACAAAGCCACTGAGATGCCAGCCAGATTCTTACCACTCAGCCTTGACTTAGATTTCCTCAATGGTGCATTTGGAGCTTCAATTTCCTCAAACCCACCACCAGCACCCTCCACACCAAATGGTGAACGAAGAGCAAAAGTTTTCTTCTTTGGCGTGCTATACTCAAAGTGTAACCGCCTTGCAATCTCAGTCTGCAATAGCAAAACCCAACGGTTACCAAATTAGAAAAAGCAATTGAGACAAATGAATCACACTGAATGATGAATGATAGTCGAAAACTCACTGCTTCTCTAATAGCTCTCGAAACTTGAACAAGCTGCCCCAAATCTTCATGGTCCACACCACACAACACCCGTATCTGCAATTCAGCCAAATAAAAAATATAAATAAATAAATTTTAAAATACCGATTACGGAATTAGAGATGAAAGGTCAACGAGGGTCAAAATCCAAGCTTGAAATTGGGCATACTCACCAGAATGTCGAGAGGAAGGGCTTCAAGGCGAGACCTCTCAGAGTTGAAATTGATTCTACCACTGCACATTCTCTTCAAAGGAGTCATCGCCGAATTGGAATCGAGCGAAGAAGATTCTCCATTGTTGGAAACCACAACCCTCTTCCTTCCCAGTGCTCGTGTATAACTATAACCCTCAAACCCTAAAGCCATAATTTCCAATTGACCTAAATACTACCACACTCCAAGCTTCACAGATAACAACCGTTTCTCTACAAATCTGCAAATACCAAAACAAAATAAATAAATAAATAAATCAACAATTGGTATCACAGAGGAGAAAAATGGTATGAATTTATTTTAAAAAAAAAAAAAAACTTTGTGGGCCGATTCGGAAACAGCGAAAAGAAAATTAGGGAAAATAACTAACCTAGTTTTAGGATGATTTCTGTTTGTGCTGGGTGATGTTGCAGAGAGAACAACAAAAATAGAAACGCAACTACGTGGCTGTTTAAAATTTTGGTAACAAATGGGGTAAACGACCTCGTTTATATACGACTATCCGAAATTAAAAAAGTTTATAATTTATTATTATTATTACCATTTCTTCTTATTAAATAATACCACATACCGCGTGAGGAAATTACAGGAAACTTCTAAGGAAATATCAAATAACCTTTATGTTGCCTCTCTTTTTCTCTGGCGGTTAAAATTAGCCTAAAACTAGCCGTTGAACAGGACAGACACGTGGCAACGCGGGAGAGGATAGAGAGACGAGTGGGTAATACTTGGGCGGCTTTGCTGGAAATTTCTGGAGCTACGCGGGCTGCGGATACTGTGGACTTAACCGCAGTGGATCACAGCCTGTTAAATTACACGTGTGAGATGGCTTGATGGACGGTGAAAAGTGGGTAAACGGAAATGGAGCCCACTTAACAGAGTTTGGTGTTTTGACCGATTTTTCTAAGTAGGCGGCTTGTTGTTATTGCTGTTCTATTGGCGGACTTATCCACTTGCTTCGTTTCTTTTTATATTCCTGTTCTTTTCTACCCTTTTTTTATTAAGTAAATTAGGTACTTAATTATAAATTAAGTGTAGAAAAACTGCCATAATTACGTCTAAGTGGATGAGGGTAGTCTCAACGATCCAAGAAAAATAATGAAAACTTTATTAATTATCAAAACTGCATTTAATTTATTTTTCATTATTAAGTCTATGTTATTCTTTCAAAAAAGTATTCACTAGTTATTATTAATTTTCATCAAAATACTCCCTCAAATATATGCTAATTATAAAATTAATCAATACTATGTAATCTTCTTAATTTTATAAAAAAAAATAAACTATGTTCTATAATATGCTTTTCTAAATCATTTAAGGATGGTTTATCATGAATAAATGTCATTAGTTTATAGTTTAAATTCTTATGCTAAATGTCAAAGTCAAGTTGTGAAAATTAAGAAGCTATTTTAGCATCTTAATGGAAGAAAAATAAATTTTAGCAATTAGTTTCATAGAAATTTCTCTTTCTGTTTAAAAAATTGTATGACATTATTAACTCATGTCTTAAGAATATAAAAAATATATTGAAAATAAGGTTTAAATTAAATAACCACAAAACATGTTTTAACTTAATTTGTAGTCTCAGTTTTGAATTTTAATTAATGCAGCCGTATAAATACATGTGGTCCAAACTAAAAAATTTTAATTAAAAAATATTTTAAAAATAGTTTTATTAAAAATATATATGAAATCAGATAAAATTTATCTATATTATAGACTATCATTCCTTAGTTTAGATTTACTTAAAAATAAGTGTTTGGAACTTTAAAACAAAATTGTATATAAAGACAACCTAATAGATATTATATACTAAAATTAATTGAATAAAACTCTGTCGAGCAAATTTGATAGATGCTTAATAAATATCTTAATAAAGAATAACATGAAAAATTAAAATAGAATATCTTATGAAGATAAATATAGGTCACCAAAAAAATATAGATATAAAGAATAGATTAATTTAAATCAATGGCATATATCTAATGATAATTTAAATGATAAATAATTAAAATTTATTAATTATAAAAAATATTAACAATATAATAATAAAATTATAATATTTAAACATGTAAAATTTACAAGTTATCTAATTTAAATGCATATCTAATCCGTTAATAAAATAATATATAATTCCTGTAATAAAAATAAAAATTACATTTTAATAAAATATTTTATAAAAATTAAATTCAAATTCTGTTACTTTGGTAAGAATCAAATACTTAATTAAATTTATTTATAAATCTATTATTACTATCAAACAGTGAAAAGTATGTAGTTGTTGATTTATAATAAAATTTATTAAAATAGATATAATTTTTTTAATTTTCTCCATAATATACAGTGAAATGTATAAAATATATGTTGATTTTAAATGATGTATATAAAAATAAAATCAAACAATATTTAAAGGCAAAAAAGATTTACAAGTTTTTTAGATTAAATTATTATTTATAGAAACATGATACTTTAAAAAGTATATAAATAAAACAAATGTTTGTTTCAAAAAATATTATGTTCACTTAAAGAAAAAAAATATTAGAAATGTTAGTTTAATAGTTTTAAACTTAATTATATTTTTAGACCTTATAAAGTAAAATTTTTAAAATTAATCTCTAAATTTTTATTTTATTAAACTTTATTTTTTTATATTTTTAAATAAATAAATTAGTTTTTACTGTTAATTAAATTTTATTAAGTTATATGTTAAAATAAAATTTTAATTTATTATTATAATGTTGTTATCATTTTTAATATTTTATTATTTAAAAGTTAATATTTTAAAAAAAGTTTCTAAAAAATATTATGTTATTTTGGAAAGGTCTCTACCATGTACAAATGTGCTCACTCTCTCCTCTTTCACCAACTTTTGTAACATTACCTTCCCTCTCTCTCTCTCTCTCTCTCTCTCTCTCTACCTCCTATCGCTCTCCTCCCAAAAAGCGCCACCACCAGTTTAAGAGGATCCACTACCGATACAACGGCTTACCTAAATCCTACTCCTTAACGATCTCAAAGACCACGTTCTAAGCGGAATAAACTATGACAGTGTAGCACTTGAGTTTGGGAAGCTTGAAGTGCGTGAACCAAATTAAGTTCTACCACAACTTGTTCTCGAGGGAGTTACACACTAGAATGTCAACATGATGAGTCTCCAACTATTCAACGCATCGGCGACTACCATTTCTACAGCAGAGCAAGACGAACTAATAAGAGGCCTTCTATTGCTATTCATAATCATTCAAAATGCATCAACACAAGAAGAGGCTAGACACAAACACAGAACTCAACAGTTGAAAGAAGCTAGGAAGAATGTCGTGGAAAGAGAAAAAGAATATTTGTGTAATTAGGGCTGTCAGCATTTTCTTATTATTATAAGAACTAAAATTTCAATAAAAATGAAAGTTAGAAGCTGATATAATATTTTTAAAACTTTAAAAATTAAAATATCATATATTTATTATTTTAAGGACTAAAATGAAATTTTAATTAAATTAAATTGTTGAATGGTGTTTTAAAATTTGCTGCTAGCCAGTTAGGGTGACCTATAAAAAAGGAGAGAGAAAAAAAACTAAAATTTAATATTTTTTTATAAATATTAACTTTTAAATAATAAAATTAAAAATAATGATAATGAAAGCGATAAGCTAGATTTACATGATATAATTAAACTCCTTTATTTTTCCTAATAGATAATATCAAACAACATAAGCAATACATCCTCCACATGTTTTCATTCCTTTCTTTTATTTTTCCTTTGTTGTTGCTTTCCATTCTTTTTCTTCTTCTATGGTACTGAAGCGTTTTGAGAAGGCCAGAGTGATTCATTAAAAGCAATTTGGAATTAAATAGTATGAGACAAACAAGAAGATCACCATCGTTCAAAAGTTTTAGAAGGGTGCTTCTTTTTTATTATTTGGAAACTACAAAATAATTAATGAAGTTAAACGGGTTACAAATTGAACTTCGAATATTATCCTTTCAATTTTAACTATTCAGTCAATGAATAATTCATAATAGAGGTGGCAAGATTGAAGTGTTTTCATTTAAAATTTTTAAAGCATTTTAATGAATAACAATGTTTAAAAACTGTAACATGAAAATAGAATATAATAAAATAGACATTATAAATTCAAGAAATTAATATAATGGAGGACCAGTTCCCAACGATTTTACAATTTCTCACGTATAGAATGCGATGTGCACACACACGGCTCACAAGCCTAGCGAGCCTTAGAAAAGAATTGTCCTAGGAACAAAAAACACACCACCTTGATCACGAACTTGCCAGAATTTTGCCAAACACTTCCCTAAAACTTCCGCAAAATCGCTTTGTTGAGTTAACCTGTTCAATAGCATATATTCGGAATTAACTTCTTTATCCTTGTGTGCATAGAACGGTCATAAATAACGAGACAGATATATTAAAGAACATATTAAGGAAATCATTATGCCTTGACTCATCATATTATTCTTTGACTTTCCTTTAGATTTCAACAATAATGGCATGTGACCTGGAATTTACGAGATTTTTGTCAGCATAAAAGATGCAGTGCACAAATAAAAGGCTAGTTACTGGATTAAATTCCTTTTAGCACTTTTAAGTTAAATTCCATTAATTCAAACCTAAGTATAATACCATCAATATTGAGATATTAGCTTGTTACAGTGAGATGCTTTTAAAGCGATCCTAGTTGTCCTTGAGAGGGTGCTCAAGCTCAATAGCGTACTTTCACGCCTATATCATCTAGTTGAGTCCACCATTTTTAAAATATTGACCGAAGTCCACCACTGTTCTTTGTTGGTGTATATAATAATCGAAAACCACATAAAATCTCAAGTATATAAAGACAATTTTCACGTGACTGCTAAAGAAAGAACCATTTTTTTTTTACCAAGAAAGAACGGTTCTCAAAATGGTAAGAAAACATATTGCCGGCCAGGTTGAGGGTTGAAACTAGACTGGCGAGTTAAAAACAGTAGCAAATATCTCAACAACAAAATAACAAGCAATAAATCCAAATCCTTACTCCACTTAGAAATTTACTTGTATAAAATATATGCGCAAAACTTTGCTTGGTTTTCTTTTATCAAACGAGGAAAAATTAAAGTGAACCATTTTGATAATGAGCTATAAAACAAACTTGTTTTACCTGATCGGTACAAGGTGGCTGCAAAAAAATTAGGGAATTTCAGTCCAAGACACCACTTTCAGATCGATTATTGAAACTGCCATCATTATTCAAATCTATCTCCATCATTGAATCAGAGCAGAAAGTCCACACCGAGACACAGTTTTCACGACCTATATTTAAACACAAACAAAATTATTAATGAAAACCAGTAAAACTGCTTTAAGTAGCACAGAATATATAATGTTTTTTGGAATATCCTGAAACATACAGTTGATAGATAATATAATTAGGTCATAAGTATTAAATTTATGTAAAATCACACCAATAATGAACCTCAACAATGATGAAATAAAAAAAAAACAGGGGGGGCTGTATGTCTGTTTTCAATGATACCACTTAAACACAAATCTTCCTTGCCATCATCTGGAATCACAAATCTTCGGTGACCTGAAGATGACACAGCACAGGGCAGAAATGGATGGAACGAGAAGCCATTAACAGAGTCTGCACAAAAGAACAAAAGAAAGCTTATAAAATTTACAAAATGACATGTACACAGAAAATTTAATGCAGTTAGCTGATCATTAATGCACGATAGCATAGTACAAAAAATAAAGTTCATTATGGAAGGAAAGAAACGTGAAGAACAAAGGGCTTTGATATATGTACTATATGTCAAGAGTACAGTGGCAAATATAAACACGTCATAATTCTTTATATTTCGGGGCACTAACATTTAGTAAATGATCAGAATCTGAAAATCAGAGGAGGAAGAGGATGCAGAATGTAGGATAAACATATGTAGAGAACAAGAAATGGTACATGAAATTTGGAAATTCGGTCTAGGCACACAAAATCCGTACATGCAAATACCATTACCATCTCTCTAACATAAAATTCATTTTACTGTAAAATGGGTCTCACAAGACAAGCACACTATGGAAAAGCTAACTGTAAAAAATGAGGATATTATCAAAATTATGGGACAAGCTAAGTCGACAGAAACCACAGTGGAGTGGCCATTGGGATGGTGTCCGATATATGATTGCATTTACAATACTATTAAAGCTTAGACAGTTAAACTATGGCCTTCAAACAATAGTGAAAGAATGGAAGATGAAGTAAGACATAATTTGAAGAACTAAAGAAACAGACAATGAGAATGAATACATTGCAGATGTTGTTCTGAATAACGAAGAATACTTTAAGAAATTAATAGATATGATATGAGTGATACTAAAAATGAGACCAAAGTCAAGATTGAGACAAAATATAGCCATCAGCATCTTCTAAGGGTACAAGAGTTGAGTACCTAAAGCAGCCTCAAAACTTGACACCCACTGCCCAGTTTGAAGATTATATATATGTACTAAACCATCCTGAAGCCAAAAATGCAATAGCAACCATTTATAAACATAAACTAGATATTAATTGACTATTATTGACATTGCTAGACAATAGAGATGGTCAAGGAAGAAGATACCTGGCCACCTGTACCAAGATGCTGTCCAGAAGGGTCAACATCAAACAATATCCGCTGATTGGTGTTTTCTGATGACCTGTATAGCCTGGTAACAATGTGCAAACATGCATCCATTCAGCTTCCAAGGAATAAACAGTACAAGTGTGCCTTAATAAAATACAAACAATGTAGTTGGAATCAGTCAAGGTTTCATAAGAATGGAAAAATACAAACCCATATATTAACAAACAGTAATTGAACCATGGAAAAAAGGAAGACCTTTGAATTGACTATAGCACACACATAAACAGTTAGAAAGTAATATGGGAATTTAGCTTTGAAATTCACATGCTCTACTTGGTAGCAGCTACCCAAAGTAATCGGCCTCATTTTAGAGGCATATATGTGCTCTCTCTGAGTGTTAAAAAATGGGAAGTCTATGACAATTTCAATAAGGAAATCCAACCCTTTATTTTCAGGGCAGTACTATAGAGTAGGTTGTACTTTCATTATTCTCTTGAATCACAACTTTGCCTCAGATTTGTTTATTGGGAAGTATAGGGCCTATTTGGAAGAGCTTATGAACAACTTAAAAAAATAGATTATGACTCATTCAACTTATTTGGACAAGCTTTTTGGTATATCTTATCAAAATAAATTGTTTTTGGCTTATCCTAATAAATTTCATCGTTAAATTTAAGACATAAGGCATTGTTTTAAAAAGAACTTATAAGTGCTTAAATAAGCAGTCCTCCAAATGTACCCTTCATATAAAATGCAAGGTTCGATTAACTTGTTTTGGAGAAATAATCATTTTCATTTTGCAGTTTCCTGAGAGAGCTTTTAGAGCTCAGTTTCGTTTAATTAGAAAGTATACTTCATATTAAATGGATGTTTGGATTAACTTGTTTTTGGGAAATAATACCTTTTTTGCAGCTCACTAAGAGAGCTCTTGGAAAAAAATTGTTTTACATAATTGAAGCTTTCCCAAACATTTGTATGCATAATTTTTTTTAATTCATAAATTGACACTATTTATAGAGAAAATGCAGTCAGTATAGTACTTGTAGACACAGTCAACAGCTTTGCGCACATCCCAGCAGAGAATATAAGGGTCCTTCAAGAAATAATGAATGTTAGAAATTGAACTTGAAGTAACAATTCGATGTGTAATAAGAATATGACCAATAGAGCTGTCCAAACTCCAGTCCTGGAGAAAGAAATGTGCAAACCTTACCTTCCGACCTCCAGTATATAAATAATTTCCATCCCTGGAAAACTGGACCTGAAGGAGGGAAAATTTTAGGCTCTTTTCTCAATTTTATAATTATCAATTACTTACAAGTAATCCTAATTCCTAACTTACATGTGTAATTCCACCTTCTTGACCATGCAACACGTACAAGAGCTCCATGTTGTCTTCCCTATAAATAGCAGTAGTTTGATTGTAAGAACCCAAAGCTAGCATCCCAGAATGAAATGGAGAAAAAGCCATTGCAGATATAATACCTGCATTAGTATAGACTGAATTATATGAACTGTTTGAGTTAGAGAATTTTCTGAGACATTCTATTATAGCCATTATTGCCACACACACACACACACCCCGAAAGAAATAGCCCTGACTGGGAAAAAAAATTACCTGTTTGGCCTTCTTTTTTATCTTTTACTGTTGAATACAATTCAAAATCTCTACCAGGGCGATGTAAATCAAACATCCTAATACATTTGTTGTATCCAGCAAATATCCTGCAAGATAAGGCAAGAGTTTAATGTTCATCGTCTATTAATAAATTTTGTAAATAAAGTCAAGACAAATAATCCAAATAAAGTCCGCCAAAAATCATACCACATTTTTTTAAAAAAGGAAGAGTCAATGTGGACTCAGACAATCAAATAGCAATCTAAAGAATGTGCCTGAGCATGACATATCTTCAAATATTTTAACTTTGTTACCTCACTTAAAAGGAAGGTATATATGTATTTGCCAACAGCAATTTGAACATAATAATCCTAGGGATGACAATATATTTAAATGTTCTAAAGAAAGGTTTATGAAAACTTTAAGGGGGAAAAAAAGGGAACTCGTGAGCATGAAATACAAGTTGTCATATAAAAATTGCAAAATGCATCTACAAGATGGCAACTACTGATCCTTGAAAAAAACGCGTTGCTTACTTAGTCCCTGCAGGATTGAAAGCAATTGAAAAAGCAGCAGTAATTTCATCCATAGCATCATATGCCCGATATGTGCAACGCAACTGCAAGTTTCATTAGAAGCATCAGTCAGAAACCACAATAGCAATACATAAACCGTAATGTGCTACAACGCATTTTCAAGGCTGCTAAGTACTCAGGAGTAACAGTTAAACCCACAAAGAACAAACACTAAGAGAGATAAATAATATTGAATTCAACCGATGCGGCAAATCTCTCTCAACTCAACATTCTACTCCTGATTTCAATTTTGAAATAAATAATATTGAATTCCAAACTTTGACACTTTCCTAAATCCTTCTAGGCAAGGGCGTTACGCATGTCAAACACTTTAAGCACAAATCAGAAAAGCATAATAACGAAAGTACCTGGCCTGAGGTAGCATCCCATAGATGTATTGGATGGTCACGAGTCGTAGTCGCGAAAACATTGGTCACAAGATCTGAAATATTCATTAACATAGACAAGTTGAAGAAGCAGAGAAATATTTTTTTAAAAATAGACAAAATCTCAGACAAAAGAAATACCTGACGAAGACATGTAAGGATACCAACAGAAATCGTGTATAGACTCTCCTTCACTCATGACTACATTTGCAGCAAAGGAATCTGATTCTGCAGGAAACAAACAATGAACTCGCAACGCAACTCCTCTTCGCTGAAATAATCGAATTTCATTTGGCAGTTAAACGCATTAAAAACACAATGCTTACCGTCGTTGGAAGCAGCAACAGGAATGTCACATTCACTAGCCGGTCTGTAAAGTGCAAAGTGAATAAATAGTGTGGAATTATTAAGTTGTATAGTAAGCTTGAAATGGAAGTTGAAAAGAGAAGGTTACGGCGTGAAGAGGCGGAGAGTGTTGTCGTCGGAAGAGGTGAGGAAAGAGGAGCCATCGGGTGACCTAAGAGAAAAGCAGAGAGTGAGAAGTAGTTGAATTTGGAAACGATTGAGAGAGTGAGAGTGAGAGTGAGAGTACCATTTAACGGCCTTGAGGAAATTGTTAGGGTTGGAGGGAGTGATGAACTGGTTGTGGAAGTGGTAGGTTCTATGAGGAGGAACGTTGAACCGAAGCACCGGTGAGGAGTAGTCTTCTTTGGCGTTGGCTACATTAGATTCGGATTCAACGGCTTCTTCTTCTCCCATCGCTACTGTGATGAATTTTTGCTGGGCACTCGATACTTATAAGCGCCAAAACTCTCTCTCACACAGGCATTTAACGGGGCGGGCAGGTACGTGCATTCATAATCCTGTAATTGGTGGGTATTTACAAAATGTACAATGTCTTTGAACAATTGCTGATTTTAGAAAACGTATTATGTCTTGTAAAAAAAATGGGGTAGTTTATTACTCATTTTGTAAATTTTTTAAAGCTCTTGTAAAAAGTTTAGAACACAGTGGAGATACAATTGCTGTTATAAGCAATTATGTTAAACTTTGTAAGAGAACAAAGTAGTGTCTCAGTTTTTTTTTATTATTTTCTTTTACTTTTTTTTGCAATAATTTGGAGAGAACATAGTAGCACCAGTTAAATGTGCTCTTAGATAAAAAAAAAAAAAAACAAACAATTATGTTATAAAATTTATGAATTTTACTGACCAATATTCTAACAACATTTATTAAGAAATAATAAATAAACATTAAAAATTGTACTAGGGTGCATTAGAAATTATTTTAAGTTTGTATTAATAACATTTTTTTAATGAACAAATTATTTTAAATTATTTAATTAATATTATAAAGATATCGATTAATGCATACCAAAAAATATAAATATCTGAAGCAATTAATAGTGGTTGCACCATGAAAATTGCTCTAAAATGCATGTAAAATATAATAATACTGTATTAAAATATCATTTTCCTAATTATTAAAAATGTTTCTTTAAGTATATAATATGGAATAAAATATTATGTAGAAAATTTACCATTTGCATTGTATGATTATTTCAAGTATTTTCATAGCTCTAGTGAGAAGTTAATTTCTCATCTAGTGATTATATTTTAAGAATATTTAAAAAAGTTTTTATAAAATTTATTTAGACTTATTATTTAATTGGTGATGTTTGATAAGAAGTTTATATAAGTGACTTTTTATTATTTACATAAACTTTTTAAACTTATTTTAATAATTTTTAAGATAAAAAAATTTATTGAATTAATATTTATTTATCTGAATTTTTTTTGTATCATAAATAAAAAGGAAACAATTTTTTTTCCAGATAATCGTACATTGAAAAGTATAATTCTTATTTATGTAAGAGTTTTATTAATCTCGATTTTTAAAGTTAAGGATAAGTAACTAATAATAGTAAAATTTTATTAAAAAAATATGTATTATATTTTTATAATTTCAATATAATATCTATATACTTTTTTCATAAAATTTTTTTATTTATGAATACTTAAACTCAAACTTATGATATGAGATTAATAAAATCCTTTAATTAAATGTCAAACACAAAAGTATTTTATGACTTATTCTCATGTAATATATAGTGTGAACGATAAAATTATATTTATTTATTATAAAAGAAAAGATGTTTAAAAATATTGAATAATGAATATTAAAGATTAATTTTATAATGTGTTGATTATAAACTTTATCTTTCTTTTAAAAAATTTAACTTATAATGATTCATCTCTTATTCTTCTATATTGAGAAGAAAATATTCTCAGTACGTCGATTTTTATGAAGATTATTTTGTTAGAAAAATTCTTTTAGCAAATATTTATTTGAGTTTTTCAAATTATATGATTGATCATATTTAATCTACGACTTTACAAAAAAATATACTTTAATCTTTAATTTTATAAAATAAATTTTATTTTAGTCCTTTTTTTATAAAACAATAAAAAGTAAAGTAAATAAAATAAAATAAGTAAATTTTAACCAGTAAGGAGTAAAATAAAACATTTATAAATATAAAGTTAAAGATTAAATTGAATGATTTCTATATTTTAAAAATTAAATTGAGAATTTATTAGTTTTCCAATAAAATAAAAGCGTAATTATGAATTCATGATGTCCCGTTGTTGATGTGAAAATAATAAGGTCCATTTAATGACCTCTTATTGTAATATATTCTTTTACTTCTGAAAATCATTATGAAAAATGTTACAATTTAATCTGAAATCGGTCGAGAAATTATTGAAGCATTTGGAATCTATAACGTGAACTTACCATTTTAATAGAGGAAAAACACAATTGCTAGTTCATTCATAGGAACATTGAACCCATAATGGGGAAATACGAAGCTGTTTGCGAATTTCCTACGAGATATGCCAGGAGTTCCATTAAAGATCTAAATCCCCGATGGGCACGGGAAATAGTAAAAGGAAAACAATGGCTATTCTTTTTATTAATTCTTATGCACGTTACGGATTACATTGCATTGTGATGATTATAATTCATTGGATATAATATGACAAACTGCCTTTGAGAGGAACCAAGAACTGGATTTTGCACTTTAAACGATAAACAACGCCTGTCCGAATTCAGGGGTTTCTTCACCAAGAAGCTATGGGATCAATAAAATTAGTGCTAAGAACTTGTCAAATACGAGTCATTCTTAAAATTTGAATACAAGGGAAGATCAAGAGCTCTCTCAGCAACCCTGCGATCTTCATGAATCTTAGCTATCAAGTTTTCAAGGGATGGAAAATTTGCCTGTTATGCACAATACCCAATTTTAGTGAAACTAGGAAAGTATATAGGGGACGGTACCAGAATGAAAGGAAGAAAAAATGCAGGAGAAATACTCATTCCACATACCTCAGGACGTATGTAACCAACTATAACAAGCAGCAGTTCTTCCCCATAGAAATCCCCATCGAAGTCATGAAGTAACCATGGTTCCTAAATTAAAAGGCATTGATAATAAGAAAACTATGAGGCAAATAGTTATAGCAGGAGGTGTATAATAAAACACTTACTATAGTCTTTTCTTTGTTGTCAAAATATGGATTCCAACCAATGCTCATCACCATTTTAAAAACACCTCTTGATGATAATCCAGCCCAACCAAAATAAACTCCTGCAGGATGCTCTGATAGGAGATCTGAGTAGCCCTTCGTTGATAAATTAGCTGGTAAGAAAATAGTGTACATATTACTCTTAGTATAATAATAGAACAAAATTGTTTTAAGATAGTATAATAGACCAAAATTTGTTAAAACAAACAAACCTGTTGGGATCCCTAGTACCTTCGAGCCACGGCCAAATCCCTTGATGACAGGACCCCCAATATACCAAGGATCTATGGGCAAAGTTCCCTCCACCCCTGCAACAATTTAGAATACCAGTTCAAATATAAATGACATACAAAGAAAAGAAACACAACACATGCAAAAGGTACATCTTAAGGTATTTGGGGTTTACAATCTTCAAATGGAGGCAGACCCCACTTTTCAAGCTGCAAATCAAGTAGGGAATTGATCACCTCATCTGCTGCAGTATAGAGATGCGACTGTTTTGGAAGAGATGGTACAGCAACTACTAGCATTTCAGCAGCCTTACCTGCAGTAACACCAGGTCTGAAGTAGCCAAGCATACATGATTTAGAAAGAATACAGGAAAGGAAGTATCCATAACTATAAGGCATAGAAAAAAAAGGTCTAGGATCAAAGTCATCATCGCTTTATAGAAACCTTATAGGAAATAAGCAAGCAGTCTTCAGTTCAGCTATCGTAAATTAAGCTGTCTAAGGTATATGCAACATAGCGCAACATAGCTATCACTGTAGACCATAATGGAAGGGGAGGGTTTAACCAAAATGTAATTAGCGTTGAATGGTGATTGTTTTGTTTATCATGTCAAAGAAAAGATACACACAACTTGAGATTGATACAAAAATCCATTAAAATTAAAATCTTAAACTAAATTCCAAAACTAAGTTCAAAGTATAGAAGCATAGATTCATGAGATACAGACATAAAGTTCTAGAAAGTTGTAACAAGCCAAGACCTAAATCACTTGTCAAGGAGATGTCATAAAAATATGTTTAAATCACAATAACAGAGCAACTGCTAATTCAACATGAGCACACATACACAAAGGAATGTTATGGAGGAATTTTGTCAAGAGAAAAAAAAAATTAAAAAAAAATATTATATATATATATATATATATGGATTCTATCAAATTTCTATAACATGCCCCGAGTCCCATTGCATCCAAATCACTCTTTCTGTCTCCATCAATGTGCTTTTGATGTACATTGAGGGACACTGCAAACAAAACAACATAGTACAAGAAGCTGGATATAGTACAATTTTTGTTCTATCCAATATTTGACAATCAATGCACAACACAAGTAATTTTGGAGGTGGAGCAAAGGAGTTGCATTGGGTAAGAGTTCTATTGGGCCTGCTGATTGTTCTCCATTGGTGTTAGGGGGTTCAGCCAAATTGATAGATTATTTTTTACTTTTAGATAGCCTTGTATGTTGGACAAAAACTTATTCCATTCTCACGGTTTATTCAGCAAAAAACATTGAGAACATTGTCCTATACTTCATCTGGTGTTTTTCTCTTTCTCATGACCATTTTATAATCAAATATGGAATAAGCATTTTATTGTTTTCCAGTCCTTCATTTTTTTCGCAAACCACACACACACAAACAGTCATACACACTTTGCCTGATTAAGCACTAAGTAATTACAACAGATACAATAAATATTTGCTTCACTTCCTCAAAAGCTAGTCACCATCTTTCCAAGTAAAAAGCATGTGACTTTGGCTGGCCAAGCTATCAACATAACAGCCGTCCTCAGCCAATAGGTGATTGATTTACTTCATAGCCACACATCTAATTACAAACCCAAAATTGTGAGCCTTACTTAGGCTACAAAATACAGACAGAACCTCCTGGGAGGGAGAGATATTTAGAGATTCTCCATAAAAATTTAGAATTTTTTTTTTTTTTCATGAAAGGCCAAATGGAAAAGAGACTATTTATATTGTACAATTATAACTAATGGGATAACCAATAATTTTAAAATAAAAAAAAATATCTCTAACGAGGTGTTGTAGAGATAAAAGGAAAAGTAAATAACAATCTAACAGAAAGTTTAACCATCAAAGAAGACCTAACGATGACCCAGGAAACCATATATGAAACAGAACCAGTACAGGGAGAAAGACAGGAATCAAGGAACTCACAGAGAGTCTTCAATGACAAGACAATTGGAAGGCGCCATGCTTAACCTCGTAGCAGCTTCAATAAACCTGTTATGATAAAGCACAATACTAACGTTTTAGAAAACAAAAATCTTTTTAATATGATAGTCAAGTGACCCTCAGTAAACAAGGCTAAACACTACATTATTGCATCTCACATTTCGGGGGATGGTTTCCCTGTTCTTACTTCGTCTCCACCAACTATAACAGCGAAAGAATTTTTCCATCCTGCACGCAAAGAAAATAAAAGAACAAGCAAGCCCATAATAACATTAAGACACATGAAAAAAAACAAAAGAAGCACAAGAGGTTTAAGGTTCCTGACATAAACTAACCATCATGATAGGATATTTTGGCTTCAATGCTTTCCCTTGGAGAGTTCGACGCCAAGGCCATTGGAACTCCATGACTCTTCAAATGTTTAATCAACCGATTCGCACCAGGAAGTGCTTTAATGTTGCACCACCTAAAATGAGAAAATAGTAAATCTTAAGAGAAAAAAAATCCCTCAGAAATCGGAACTAAGTTCATTTGACCAACCAAGTAACTTGCATCTCAAATACAACATAATGGTAATTAATTGAACAAAGATTTCAGACAACAAACCAATCACTTCGGGACAAATTTCCTAAGATATTGACTTCATTATGTGGTAATAAATCTAATGGGGTGAATCTCATGTAAACCTCGACCTGTTTAACGGCACAGCATGGCATCCTCGTTTACATCGAATATTCACTAAATAATTTATGGATGTGCATTCTTTAACTTTGAAGTTCAACAATCAACTCTGGAGGTCGTGATACAAATCGTTAATACCTTTTCAAATTTCAACCATCTTTCTCCAACAAGTTCTTAAAGAGTAAGCAATTATCAGAATTCAGTAAACAATATATCTCAACGCACTGTCCGTATACATGAAAAGCTTAATTAAGTAGAATGATGTAACAGATGATTACTGGTGAGAGAATAGTGGCGAAATCTCAGAAAGAAATTGAACCGTGGAGCACGAAAGTTGGTAATCTTGCACGATTGCAGCAGCAGCTTCAAACGGTGTCTTGCCAATTATTTTCTGAGCTTCTCTTCCGTCCCATTCCTTTCCATACTTACCTAACAAAACCTTTAAAACGTTCCCAACGATGCCATCTGTCATGAAATCACAATCGCCAGTGTTATACGATTAACCCCCAATTAGAAAGAAAAAAAATGCAGCGATTTTATTGGTAGCCTAAGTATGCTTCAATTGACGTTATGAGAGCAGACCTGTGTTGAGCAGCGTGCCGTCCAAATCAAGGATGACACATCTAATCAACTTCTTTGCAACCGACATTTTCTCCCAAATACCAAATTCTGAAACTGAATTCAGAAAACTGTAGTTAGGAGCGAACAGGGGCGTAGGGAGTGAGGGGGACGCGCCGCAGAGTGTATGAGGAGAGCTTCGTTGGAGTTCAAAGTATGCGTTTCAGAGCGATGGGACCTTATGAGTTCTACAGAGACCCAAAAGAGCATGGTTGAAGTTGTTACGCATTCATGATTGCGATTCGAAGCAGTGTGGACAATGATGTTACGAAACGCAATGCAAAAGACAATTGGGTTGAGCCGCCGCCTAGTTTCACTTAAATTAATACAGCCTCTTTCTATTTATATATAATTTTAAAAATTAAAAATTATTCAATAACATGTTTTATAATAATTAATTTTATATAACAGTATAATATATCTTAAATTATTTTTTTATCATTCATAAAATATAAATATTTCAATAGCATAATCATTTATTTAATCCTATTCATCTTTAACTTTTTTTATACCATGTCATTTAAATATTTATAATTATTTTTTTCTGTATTTTTGTGTCTTTCAGTGCATAAACTTTAAGAAATATATATCAAACATTTTTCATTCTTTATATATAGAAAGAACCCTACCTAAGGATAACTAGTTTTCGTGGTATGCATTGTATTTTAAGATGAAAACTGGCCATACCTTAGTTCTGTCATTTCTGTGGGTAGTACCTGGATATATTTTTGGCATTGGAGTCTCTGATGGATTAGTTGTATGCTTTTTTTTTATGTACATTGTATGGTGTTTTGTTGTTAGACAGTTGCAATTCACTATCATACGTTTTTAACTCATTATTCTTAAATGATAATTGAAAATATTATTTTAAATAAATATATTTTTAGAGTTATTTTTTCTTTAGTTATTATGTTATGTGACTTCTCATGCATTAAACATTTAATTTTTGAATTAAAATTTAATTTAAAATTTAAATTAAAAAAGTGTAAAATACATTTTCCTTCCTTTCAGTGTCCTCCTATTTATTCTAAAATATGTTATTTAATTAATTTAAATTTAAATTGTTAAATAAATTTTAAAATATTTTTTTATTTAAATACACAATATGTATATTTACTAATTTCCCTTTTTTTTTTTACGTTTCTATGTCTTATTATTTATTTTTTCATGCTGTACCTTTTTTATTAAATGCGTTAAAGTTGTAAGTTATTTACACTTTCGTCAAAGATAATTTTTTTTTTTACTTTTTTCATTATTTAATAATAAAATAAGCTCTAAAATTTTCAGAACAATAACAATAGTTCAATATTTCGTAAAAAAAAAATTCATTAAAGCTTCTTGAAATTTTGACCCAAAAAAAATGTCAAACAAACGGGGCTCTAATGACAAATTTAGAATACATCAAATTGTGATTTATTTTAATTTTGTAAAGGGGTTATAATATTTTAAAATATAAGAGATTGTAATTTGATACATAAGAGAAAAATATTATATTTTAAAAATTTATAATTTATTCATTAATTTTAAAAAACTTCTTTTGCAATAATTTTGATAATATTTAATATAATATAGTTTATTATTATTATTATTATTGTTATTATTATTATTAAATGACAATATAATGTTTTTTATTTGATAATATACATATAGTGCATAAAAAAAAACTTACTAGTATAAATAAAATATAGCTCCAAACCGATACCCTGCCCAAGAGAGAGAGAGAGAGAGAGAGAGAGAAAATAAATAAACATGTTTATCCTCTTAATTCCAAGTGCATTTACCTCCAGATAAAGGAAAAAGCGTTGTATAGTGATTATGATCTTAATCAACAACCGAGTCATGGCCTAAGCTTATAGATATACCTTGTCACCGAGAAGGTTAAAAAGGAGAATAAAATGAAAGTGTCTTGCTGTCATAATAAAATGAATTTTATTAGTATTCTGAGTGCTCTCTTGAATTTGACAAGCATAATCAAATATAACATGTTTTTTTGTTCTTAGTTAGTTATCTGTTAAAAAAATTGTTTTAATTTATTTATTTATGTAAAAAAATTAATATATTTATAATTTAATAAAGATCATCATAATTTTTTCGATAATTCTTATTGTTTATTATGTTTAATATACAAATTCAAATAAATAAGGATGAGATAATTATAAATGTAAGTATTGAAGTGTATAAATTAATTTTAATTTATGAGTAAAGTTTGATTTATTTTATCCCTCGACTCTGATTTGTCTTTAATTGCCTGTTAAAAAAAAAATCCAAGTTATCTTGAAATTTCAACTGATCGTATAAAATATAATGTTTTTTTTCCCCTTGTTTTTGGATGATTACTCCCTTTGTTGAAAATGATTGGAAGAGACCTTCTTGGGTTTAGTTAAAAGAGAGAGGAAGGGAGAATTTTTATTTATTTTTTCCTTTTTTTATTCAGTTTATAAGAAGAAGGAGGGAAAATAAAACAAAATCATTACATTATATTCTTATGACATACAAACTGTCGAGAAAATAATTTTAATAAATTATTTGAGAAATTTACAAGAAAAAAAAATCCCCCGTAATCCCACGCCCCATTCGTCTAATGTTAAAATTTGCACAAAGACTAATCCTGTAAAACACCCTTAATTTATTTTAGAAATTTATTACCCTCGATTTTTAAAGTTGAATTTAAATGTTTAATAATAATAATAATAATTTTTATTATAAAATAATATTTATTATAACAAAGTTATAAAAATTAAATAAATTTTTTAATAAAAAACTGTTTAAAAAGTATTTAAACTTAAATTTAAATATTAAATATTTCTTTATTTTATGATGATTAGTCTGCAATGTGTTTTATGTTATAATTGACAGCTCAATGGTTTAAGAATGTCAAATCACATCTTAAATTTAATGATACATGCATCCGTTGGGAAATAATGGTACTTAATCAAAACAAAGCATAGGAAGATAAATAAGCCAAATAGACATCAAACATGCTATAGATGTTTTCATAGAAGGATAAATAAATAAAAAAATGTTAATATATTGTTTTCAACAGAATTAGATGACAAAAAAGAAAAAAGGTTTCTAGAACAAAGTCAGTCAACGCATAAGGTTACTAAAATCTTTACTTGAGGCTCCAAAAATTACGAATAAAAAATACAAAGATAATATTAATTATTAATAAATTATTATCAAAACATTATTATTTAGTACATAATAATTTGGAATAAATATCAACTAAAAATAGTAAAAAAAGTGATTATAATAATTTGTAAGTAATATTGCATCTTAAATAAATTTTAAAATACAAAAATCAAATCAAATAATATAATTTTAATTAATTTTGAAAAATAGCTGTTTTTAAATTATGTTAAGCCTAAACACAAGTTTAGTTACCTTTTTATAAGCTAATTAAAAAACACCAAGACACAGAGATAAAAAAACAAGAATAAAATGTATATAAAACAAACAGATGCGAGGGCAGGAGGTTAAAAAAGTGTGATATGTAACGGAAAAAATGCATATACATGAAAAAATTACAAAAAGATGTTTCATTTTTGTCACTTAAGAGTATGTTCCAGAGAAAATCTCCAAAACTCTTTCAAATTTTTTTTTTCTTTCTTTCTTAATCTCTTTTAACTGTTAAGATTCTATAATTTTACTTTCTTCCGCACTTATCTCGCTTTGCAGATTATCTTTAATTTTGTTCTTTATTGTTAATTATTTTTGTTAGGAATAAATTTCTCTCACTTATTATATATATTTTTTCTTTGTGTTTGAAATTTTTGATTCAAAACAAGGAGATGTAAAAGTTTTAAAACAACTTAAGGGCAAATGTAGATTTTCAAAACGAACGTTTAAACAACTTGTTATTTAAATGAAAATAACATTCATCACTTTTTTTAGCCCTTCACATTTTCTCAACATCTGAAAGTAAAGCTGACATGAAATAACAAAAATTTAAATTTTAAAAATATATCATTAAAAATATATTTTTATAAAAAAATTTAAAATATATATTTGTCATATTTAATACATAGATCATATTATGACAAAACAAATTATAATTTATATATAAATTATACGGTATGTGCTACTTGCCTTTAAACATATCTTGTGCTAAAATTGAAAATGACTAATAATAAACGTAAATTTAGAATAAAGTGATTTATAATTTATAATTTACAAGTAAGTGTGTAATGAATATTGTCATACTAATTACTAAAAATAATATAAAGTTATGATTTACGTTAGCACATGTTTAACCAAACAACTTTATAGGATAAATAATATAATATTGAACAGATTAATAAAATTAAAACATTATACTATTTTTTATTTATTTTTTTATAGACAAAATAATGCTAGTCTATTTAAGATAAGATTATTTATCTCACGAATAAATTAAAAAAAGTCTTTATACTCACTAGAGATTTAAAATATTGAATTAAAAAAGAAAAAAAAACAATAATTATTTTAAAAAACTAAAACTAAGAACTAAAAAAGTATAAGAATATAAAATATATTTAAGTCTAATAAATTATAACAAATAACTTCATATTAAAAATCTTAATTTTAACTGTAAAATCTGAAAATCTCGCATCTATTTTACTCAAAATTGATAAATTTTTCTTTCTTGAAAAAATTTGGTTAGTTCGTCGTTTATATTTATTTAATGACAATTCTATTAGATTTATAATAACTTACTTTGTCGTTTCACCCCTGCATTTCCTTCCCTCCCTCCTCGGCACTTATTCAAACGTAACGCCATTCTCATATCTCAGCTGTAGTTTAGCGTTTTTCTCATATCTCAGTTGTAATCACTTTCTGTCTTTCTTTCTTCCATTCCATCCTTTCATTCTTTTATCTCCCATTCTCGTTTCTTAACCACCTTCACTTCATTGTAACACTGTTTAGGGTTTTGCTTCACTCGCCATTAGCTCTTCGCTTTCACCAATTTTGCCATATCACTCATACATTTTTAATTCTACATCGAGCTCAGTGTTACTGTTAGCTATGGAAACCGATGAATCCTCTCGCGTGCTTCCGTTTCAGCTACAGTTCGATAAACCCCTCGCCTCTCAGGTTTTGTCAAATTCACTTTCCCATATCTGTTGCTGTTTGATTATACATGCTTTTTTGTTTTACATTGCCTATTTGCTTTTATTGTTGAATTTCGAATCATAGATCAAAATTGCGGAGTGGAATCCTGAGAAGGACTTGCTTGCCATGGTTACCGACGACTCTAAGATCTTGCTCCATCGTTTCAATTGGCAACGCTTGTGGACCATAACCCCAGGTCTCTCTCTTTTTTTCTTCAAATACATGTATATTGTACTCGAATGCGCGGTAATGCTGTGTAAATGGTAAAATTTGGAAATGCCTTGAAACAGTTAGTCGCGTGTCGTTCTGGCTTCTAGTTTGGGTTTTGAAGTCATGGTTGTGTATCTGATATTGCTACAACTGCTGTGTCCGGGGTTAATTCGATGTTTTCTTTTTCCTGTAGGAAGATGCATAACCTCTTTGTGTTGGCGCCCTGATGGTAAAGCAATTGCTATTGGGCTCGATGACGGGACGTTGTCACTGCATGATGTTGAAGTGGGTAGTTTTTTTTTTTTTGGTCTAGAACTAATTTTTTTAGTCATTTTTTCTTGATCAGTTTTATTCTACATTTCTAATTATGTGTTAATAAATGTTTTATTTCGTCCTGTACTGTGGGAAATTTTAAAGGAAAAATGTACATTTGGACTTTGGAGCTTCTTAGAGTTCCTAGTCCTAGATTGGTTGCTTACTCTGAGGTATATCAAAGTAAACAAGCTGCTTTATGTTTATTCTCAAATATAATTCTGGTTGCCTTGAACCTCTTGCCATTGTGACATTGTGGGGTATCTATGCTGGCCATAAATATGAATCATAGTCTACTTGTTCAAGATTACTTGGTAACTTTGTTGCATTGGATATGAATATGAATATTGGATACGATATGATATGACACAAAAATAAGATAAATTTTTTCTAAAAATTAAAAAAAATCCCAAAAAAAACTGCGAAATATAGAAAAGATTACACTATTAGTTCAATAACATAAGTATCAAGAAAGTCAAAATCAGCAAGAAGGCGAGATATGCGGTGGATACAAATACAAGTGTATTATACGTGTATTGGACTATCTGTATCGGTGGACACAAATACAGGTGTATCGTACGTGTATTGATAATTAAATTTTTGAAATTTGCTAATCTAACAAGTAAGCAATAGGAGATCTTCTTCAATCTAAGGAAGGAATATCAGTAAATATCCAACATACTTGCACAAGTTTGTTTTTCTGGTTGATATTTTTATTGTTTTTCCTAGGAAGATGAGCTAAAGTCTCAGAACCATGTTTACCTGATATATAAACTGAACATGTTCTTTTGCTAATGGTGTTTTATCTTTCTGTCAATGTTTGCTTAGGGATTATGGTTGATTTCACTTTAATTTTTGTTTGACGTAACTAATTCCTGATATTTTCTATAAGGCAGAATGGAAAGCTATTAAGAAGCTTAAAGTCACATTGTGCTGCCATTATATGTCTCAACTGGGTGGAGGACAGTCAGCTAATTACAGTATACTTTTTCCCTGTCTAATGGCTACTCTTGATATTTAGTTTGATTGATAGATTTTGATTCAGTGGAATGTCTCAAAGATACTTGCTATAAACTAAAATAAGGTTTCTATATGTACCTTGATTTTGCAAAATCCAAGTGATATATGATGCTTAGCCACATGTTAAATTATGGATATCATTTTCTAATATGTAGGTTCAATCCTCACATTCTATAAATGGAAAATAGATGCTCTCACTGGCAAATAGGTGTGGTCGTAAATGTTATATATATACTGAACAAGAAGCTCTCAAGCTCAGCTATCACACCATACATGAAGTGGTTCTGAACTTCTGATAAAATATTATGTACCATAATACCAGTGTTATTCTTTTAAGATGATTCCTGTTGTGTTTGTGTTAACTATTGTAAGTTAGAGTATATTAGAGCAACACTTGTGTAATCCCAGGGTTCTGTTTGTGAGTTAATCTGACAGTTAACCTGGCTGGCATAGTTACTTAGGAAGTTAGCTCAGCTACTAACTTTATGTACCAAAACCTTAGAAGTTAAAATATTCAGTTCAGTTTTTCAGGTACAGAATATTTCAGAGCATAAAATTCTCACATTCTCTCTCTGAATTTTCTTTCCCTTTCTATCATTTTCTTTTTGTCTCTCTGGTACTTGGTTCTTTATAGTATGTGGTGATAATTAAGTTGGAATTGAGTTAAGGATTGGAAGAATGTGTCAAACATGGTAGATTTAAACAAATAAAAGTAAGAGGTAAACAATGTCAAACCTTTTAAAACACCAATTACATTTTCTCCTTGATTAGTAAAAGTTTGGACCAAACTAAAATACCAACACTTTTTTTCTTGAGCAGACAATGTACATAAGTATCATCCCGCATCAATCTTTCATATATTGATCATATAATGCTACTCACCCTCCCCTCTTTCTTTGGGGTTGTGTTTATGTATTTTCTTTTCTTTTTTTTCTTTTTCTTTTGGTGAAGAGGTGGCTTGCAATTGTACCATATTGACTAGGTGCATCTACTGTACTTTTCTTTTCTACTATTTTAATCTTTCCTCCTTAAATTTTCTTCTAGGATGACTATGGTCACACTTCAAAGTATGAAGATAGAACCTCCCGATTCTTTCCTCCTGCTCCAAGAGTTCCTCGAATGCCTGGATTGGTATCTGGGGATAATGGCTTCATGGATGACAGTGAAGATTCATTTCAGGAGCTGTCAAATTCGTCTCACCAACGGTTCAATATCTTATGCAGTGCAGATAAAGATGGAAACATTTGTTTTAGTATATTTGGCATATTCTCTGTAGGGAAAATTGTAAGTTATTGTCTGTCACAGAAATTAGCATTTTTCATTATACAAATTAATTGCTGAGGTGTGACGAGGAATATCATTCTCACCTTTTGGGCTTGTATGAGTTGATATATTACTGTCTCCTTCCGAGCAGTTTGATTTTTATTTTGAAACAGTCTCTGGAGACCTACATGATTGTATTTCAAGATCAGAATGCTTTTAATATTTAATTGAGGTTTAGTTTGCAGCCGTAAGTAATATTTGATAGGCTTGGCTAACTAAAGTAACTATAGATGCTCTCTTAATTTGTTTTCTGATGTAAATGAAGGTAACTATTGTGGTGCTGTTGACTTGATGTAGATCTAAATGCTGTAATATTCCCTTTCTGCTAATATATTTTCCCTTATTGATTAGTGTGCTTAGCATAACTTTTCATTGTGAGAAATTTATAATATTGTTTAGATATTTGGGATTGCTAGATTGGACTGGAAGTGTGGGTGGGGAGAGGGAGGGGTCAAGAAAAATTATTTTATTACTGAGGTTCTAAACAATTGTGATACATTACTCTGACTTATTAAAAACTATGATTATGAAAAGACAACTTCATTGTTTACTTTGGGTATAGTATTAGCTACTACTTAAATTAACTATGAAGATTTTCCTAATAACATAATAATAAATTATCTCTGTTGGTAGATATCATACATTGCATATTGTTGATATTTTTCTGAGAAAACCAATAAAACATTCACAGACAAATACTTGTAAAATAATTTATACTAAACATTAAATTATCCTTGTTTGCTTCTTTATTACCTTTATTTTTCGATTGCTTCTTAATTTCCATTTTTGCTTAATATTAAAACTTCTTATAATTGTTGGTATTTTTCAGAACGTACACAACCTCACTTTTCGGACTAACTGTGATGGTGCAGAAACAACTAACAGAATTTTAAATGCTTCTGTACAGAAGGTAGATTCTCCTATTTTGATTACTGGACTTCATTTGCAGATCCTGTTCCCTTTAGTTGGGGACAGAAGCAGGAAAACCCTAAACTATTGTTTGATGCTTGAAATTAATTAGTTGATTTACTAGCATATGAATGAGTATTTTAAACTGTTGGAAGTATGAGAAGAACAAATTGAAATACAATCAAAGCAGCAGAATGAATTACATCAAGGATGGCAAGTCGTTTTTTTCTTGTTTGAAATTCTGCCAAAAGATTAATGATTAATGAATCAGTGGATCCAATTCTGCGTACACAATCTCTAGGCAGTGTTTGGCCCAGCTTATTTTGGGCTTCACTTCTCCTTAAAAGGAGAAGCTGGACCAAACAGAATTTTAATAAAAGAACCTTTTAAAAGTAACTACTTTTTTTCCATGAAGAAAACTTTGAAAAAAGTAGCTTTTAAAAAAGCCAATTGTTTTTGTTAAAGATACACTTGTCTTCTGTGGTCTTTCTCCTTGTCTTCTGATGTAACTTTTTCACGGAATATTCCAAATTCTCTTCTGCTGTAACGTGAAGGGAAGGTACTGCAAAAGTACTCCGATGATAAAGTCAGCTCTCAGTCTAGAATAATAAATATTATTAAATATTCAAAAGTCAACTATTTATTTGTATCTCTTACTTTTTTTTTATAGACAAGATATTGGGCTAATAGATTTCATGACTCAGCCCTATTCTTAACCTTTTCTGATTACTTGGGTAATTAGCCTTTTTCTTTTTGATTATTGATTATTAATCTTTTAATTAGGCCGAAAGGGTGCGAATACCCTTCATTCTAGTGTCAGGCCGAAGGGGTGTTCAGTTTATCACCGAAATGTCTTATACAGTACACAAGTTTTAGGACCTTTTGGCTTTACTTCTTTTCCTTTATTTCAAATCCCATGATCTAAGAACACACTACCCAATAATTTTCAACATAAAAGTAACTTTAAGCTTAAATAATTATAGAATTATTGAACAGCATTAACTCAAAATTTACCTATAAATTTAAAGCTCTTATTTTTAACTTCAACGTTAAAGTAGCTTTTAAGCTCTAAAAATAGAAAGTCTAGGTCAAGTGCTGTCTTAGACAAGAAGGTAGTGAAAGCGAGTTTCCATGTTCATTACGTGTTGATACATGAAAAAAAAGAGTTGAAACTACAACTTGCATAGGTTAATCAACACCTTTCATGAACTAAATCCTCAAAAGGCTTTTGCTTTAGGTGAAAGCACCTTTCAAACTTGCTGTATAATGCAAGAGCCTTTTGGGCTTGAAGTGTGGTCATAACCCTGCCTATCTTGTGTTGAAACTCCACTTCTTGTTAGAAGAATGAGAGTGCCTGGGATCAAATTCTAGACCACTCAATCACTGAGGCTTTAATACCATACCTTAAAACAACTGTCCAAATTTTTAAGCAGATAGATAAAGGCTAATTAAGAGGTTTTAAATTCTGTTTCTAATGATACACTTATAATTTACTTGTGGAAGCTGATGTTACATGTCACTAGGTTGCATTATCAAAAGATCTTTGTCGTTTGATAGTCATGTGCTCAGGAGACCTTGTTGAAGTTGGTGATGACTTGGAAGAAATTCACATGGCTGGGCAAAATGAGCACGGCCTGCATTGCTTAGCATTGAACACAGCTATATTTTGGAATAGGTAAACATTCTTTGAGAAATGGGATGTTCTACTGATACATTCTTTAAAGATGCCTTATTCTATTTCTTTGTAAAATATAAAACCTTGTGTCCTTGAGACAAATGCAAATGAACTTGACATGGACATGCTTTACAATGGACATTCTGTCTGCTCCTTATTTCTGCAATTTGGTTCCTTTTACCTTTGTATAGGAAAAATGAACTTCATCAGGTAGCTCAACAAGCCTCTAACATTGAGGATTTGACTGAGGTTGTTCGGACATCATTATCAGTTATGAGTAGGCAGTGGTCTGATGCTATGAAAACATTTCAGGAGAAGTTCAGCTCTTTGTCTACTCTGATTATAAATCATGGTAACTGAACAACAGTGATGGAATTTGTTTTTGTTACTATTACCCTTTAATTCATTTGTATCTATCATCCATAACTAGGACTTGATTCCTCACCTCAAGAGGAGTTTCTGAGCCTTTTGGGTGGTGCAAGGACTAGCCCACCAGTTCATCAGTTTCTTGTCAACACTCTTGGTGAAGTGGTATTCATACAGCATTATCTAGTGGTATTCCCCTTCTGTATGAATGTAGTTTTCATTCAGCACGTTTGTTGCTTTACAGGGTGTCAAGCGTATTTCAAAGGTTGTCTGTGGTGCAGGCAAAGAACTTCAACGTATTGTCTTGGACCACCTCCAGGTACAGCATAGTATACTCCCATATACAGCAATATTACTAATAAGATTAAGGAGCGAAGTTTTATTGTTTGAAAGCATATATTTTTAAAATATTCATGTCAGATAGTGCTTGGTGTTGCACTTGCACCCTTTCACAGACTTTTTCCAGATCAATGAAGACTGTGTAAAGGTCTTTTTGCTTTCTTCTATAACTTATCATTGATTCCCATTAGTGGGTTTGGGCTAGGTCGTTGCTTACCTGCCTTGTCTTAACAAACTAGGGATTGAAGACAAGCCTGCTCCTAGCACAATGATTTGGGGCTTCAGAGGTTGTTTCCCTGTGGCCATCTTGAAGTGGCTGAAGTTCAATGCCTTTTAGAAAAATTGAAATTGAAGCAATGGGCCCATTTGTTTAAGATTATTTCCAGAAAAAGGCCCTTTTGAAGAAACAAATTACAAGTTTTTTTTAGTTGTTTAGTTAAGATTGTGAAATAAAATCAGAAGTTGAAAATAGTACGGTTCTAGCTTTTTTTTTGAGAAGCTATTTTGAATAGCTTATAAAAAAAAAGTTGAAATTACCCTTTGAAATAAAATGTGCATTCTATAATTGTAACTAAAGAAAAAATAGCGTCTAGCGTTCTACTTTTTATAAAATCTCTAAAAATAAATTACTTTTTATACATATTTTCAAATGTCAAAACAAAAGGGCCCTATAATTCTGAAGCTAAATTCCAGTTTTGTTGTCACGAAGGAACCTTAATATGATTATCTTATTTTAAAGAAAAGGGTACCTTCAGCTTAATTGAATAACAATGGCAGAGTCTATGACCATGAGGTCAAATCACAAAAGGTGCATGGTAGTTTGTTGTATCAATTGTTAGGAGATATAAAACGTTCATGTGCATTCACTTAATCACCTGAAGTTTTGGTATTCCATTCTTGACATGGTATTAGAATTTTATTTGCTTTTGAATCTACTCAAAATATTTGCTCAAATTTCACGACAACCTTTCATATATGAAAGTTGAAATGTATTTGCAGCCAGCTGTAGAAGTTATTGGATTCAGAATTGGAGAACTAAGAGGGCTTTCAAGATGGCATGCACGCTACCTAGGCATTGGCTTGGATGAGTCACTTATTAACAATGCAACAGAAAAGGCTGGTATGCTACTTGTACAAGTTGAACGATTTATGAGGGTTCTTTCATCTGTTGTGCAGCAGGTGTGCCTATTTTAAGTTTGAAATGAATCTACAGAGTTTAGTTTTATTATTTCTAATTTATGCTCTGTTGCTATCAATATTTATATTTTATAATCGTCTCAGTTTTTAAATTGTTATCAACTATATGCTTTCACGAGAGTTACAATAATAATGCATATTCTGCATATTATAGTTATAAAACTGGACTGGCCAGTTCAACTAGACGTTGGGCAGGTCTCTGGTCCTGACAATCCAGAAAACTAATGAAGCAAAAACACCTGTTCGAAGTCAGTGGCAGAAAACTGGTTCAAACCAGTATTTTAAAAAAATGCTGTTTTTAAAGTTTTTATTCAAACATTTTTTAAATAAATTAAGGCGCATGTATGGGCTTTACATACGATTGATTTTATTTAACAATTAATTATAAAATTTTCATTTTGTAGGAGATGAAATATGATCCCTTTATGCTAATTTAAACTTTTATCTATTTTTTTATTCTGCTATGTTAATTTATTACTGAATATATTATATACTACTTAAAATATATATTTAACTGGTGGACAGTTTGATCATGTTTTGACCAATAAAATGTGAACCAGCCTTTACTGGTTCAATAATTGGTTTGGTTTTAAAAAACATTGCTGTATGTAGTTGAGTGATCACTGTATATTAATCGACTTCTAATAATTAATTAAAAGAAGAAATTTAGATGGAAACTCAGAAAATAATATGGATACGGGAAAACTAAAATTTGATATTTCAGTTAGTCATCAAATCTAAATTTCAGTTAAAACTTACAAGTATATTCTTGCAAAGATTCCAAAATATTCCTAAATTAACCAGGACATGTAAATTGGATTGACTTCCATGTGCCAGTGAAATTGCCAAATTACTTTTGTGAGTTTGTCTTCATAAAGTTAAAAATAACTCTTGGCTTCCCCTTTCCCATTCTACTTTTTATGTGGTCATTTTGATTGTAGGAAGAGCCAAACAGAAGCCCAACGACCCTACAAATAGTCTTTTCTTAAATTGAGAAATCTTAGTAATATGTTTCCTGATAAAAATAAATCCCCAGAAAGTAGGTTATAGTCACAATTGGTTAAACTTCTTTGGTAGTTTGGTATTACAGAAACTTCAAATTTATAAACTGATGATCAAATTTCTAACAGTTAACAATCAATTTTGAACTGATACCTAAACAGACTGTTGTTGGTACACTCATCTGATCCTCATAAATATACTATTATATTTAACATCACCTTAAATTCCACATGATTAAGTTTCTAACTGAAAAACAATTGCTGATATAAAACTATCCAAACAAAATTAAATATGGAATGCATGACCAATGAAAATATTTTGTGTGAATGAATGTCATACTTTTTTGCTTGTGTTTGAATAATTTGTGGGAGGTATTTTATCATACTATAGCTGTTTATTACTTGTTATTTCCATCAGTTAGAAGCAACATTTTTAAGGTGGATGAACACATCTCTAAAATGATGAAAATGTATGCATTATTTAATTTCGTTTGAAGTTGTTTTTAGTTTTTCTACTTTGAATTTGACACCAGTTCTTATGATTCCGCAATGGTTAATGAACATATTATAATGTTTAGGAGGATAGGGCCTAATGATAAGCTTGTGATTGGCTCCTTTTGACATGATGTAAGAAGACATGTATTTGGATTTCACTTGTCTGAGCAAAATACAATGTTCAATGCATTTTTATAATAGCCTATTATGTCAATTTAATTTTTTGGTTTTTAACATTTCTTCAACCAGTATTCAAACTTCTTCAACTGGCTACTAAAGTGTATAAAATTACTCATGTCAGAACCAAGTGACCAGCTTCTACCATATAACAGGTTTGTCTAAACATGCGTAATGTTACGTATGATTATTGAAGGTATTATTTGTCTGATTTTACTTTTGGTTTTGGCAGTGAACTTGTTATTATATTCCTGAAGTTTCTTTATGAAAAAGATCCAGTTAAACAATTGCTGGAAGCATCAGAAACAGAATATGAAGTTGAAATTGATTTGTACGTTTTGTTATTTACTCCTAGATCTTTAATATTTTATCCATACTTATTGTATCACATCATATCCTTGCTTCAATACAGTGTTGGCTGTACCATAGCTTGTACAGATGCCATGAGCTTTGAATGTTATTGATGTTTCACATGTGAAATTTCTATTTTCTAGGACATCAGATATGAATTAAATGGCAAATTTAATAGTTACATCAGGAAGGTCTTTAATCCATATCCTGCTAAGGAGTGATTTTGAACCTCTGCTTCAAAATCATTTTTTTCCTAAAAAAGAAGAAATGTTATTAGAGAAGAGAAAGAAAGTAGCAAAAGAACAGAGGTGAAAAATGGAGTAAGGAAAATGGATATAAAAACCATGCAAAACATGCCTATCTCTGTCTCTGGCAAATAAACCCTCTGAAGAAGTGAAAATGCCATTAGCTGAGTACTGTAAAATGTAAATGTTAAAGAAGCAAAGAAAACTGCCTTATCCCATCGGAGAGACAATCAAAAGAATACTTGAAATAACCAGAAGCACCAAATTACAATGGACACTGCTGACCTCCAAAGGGCTTTCTTATCTTTACTCTCAAAGCATAAAAATAACATATCGAAAATGCATATCTCTCAGCAATCAACATTCACCTAAATTACCAAAGACAAAGTCTATGCTACAAGAATCTAGAGCTGAAAAATGTTTTTAAAAAATGATTAATAATCTACCAATCAGAGGAATTTATTATTCGAATATTAAGAGAAGTTTTGCATGCTTTTGAAACCTGCATGAAATCGTTTCATTCATTTGTATTGATCTTTTTAAGTATAATTTTGCATATGACAGATTTCACCTTAATTGGGGCTTGACAGTCAAAGGGAATTAGCAGGAAAATAACGTCCTTATTTGGAAAGTAAATAATAAAGTTGAAATAAATACTCCTAAGGAGTTTAAAATGCTAATGTTGCAATCCACAGAAGAATGGTGAGCATAGTTTGGCAAACCAAGAACTGATTCTATTTCTGAAGCTTGTCTTTGAGCAAGATATAAGAAAAAAATGGAAATTCAAGCCAATAGAAGTATTCTGGAGAGAATTAAAGTTGTTAATGGGTTGGTGGCTGATAGAACTGGATCAGAAATAGGATGAACTGATGGATTATAATTTTAGAAATTGCTCTAATCAGTATCATGATGATATGAAACCACAAGCGAAGAGTGTTACAATGGAACTCTAATTTGCAGATATTCAAGAGACCTGGCTCTCCTTCCTCACATTTCTATTCCAAATCTGAAACCCCTACACTCTATTGTTTCCCTCCTATTCTTTATATACATTGTCAACAATTTTAACTAACTAAATAACTGTTGATACAGTTGCCAACTTACTGAGAACTAACTGCTGACATTTGAACCAAGTATCAGACAGTGAGATTGGGAAGATCAATGATAAAAAATATTAAAAAGAAATGTACGACTATGAAAGCTGCATGCTCATTGTGATGGAATGTGTTAGGTGGTCTTACATAAAACATTCCCGAAAGTTTCTTTGATAGTTTTTTTTTTTTTTAATGTTAATCTGAATTGCTGATTTTGTTGGATTTTCAGGGAAACAATGCAAAGAGTTAGAGAATTAGTTCTGTTTGGGGGATTTTCAGACACTGAATATCTAAGGAGAACATTGGCTACGGAATTTCAGCAAATGGAATTAAGGTATTCATCTATGGACAAAACTTAGGTGTAGTTCCTTAAATGCTTTTGATGTTCTTTTCTAATCAAAATTAGAGTTTCACCTCAATAAATCTGTGACAATGTTAAATTCAGACCTTTTACTGAGGTTAAAATATAATTTTGATTGAAAAACAGTACCAAAAACGCCTAAGGAACTGCACCTACGTTTTGTCCTTAATCTTTGCCCTTTTATTCCTTCTAATTAGACAAGACCAGATTGTTTCTGTTGGCTTTCCCCTTTCATTGCACTCATCAATCGAATTGACGATGATAATGATTAAATCATTATGACTGAGATTACAAACTTTTTGAGAAAATGTCATAAACAGAACTATTTGTCCTCATTGTGTAAAAAAAATACTAATTTCATAAAGAAAAGAAATATGGAATTATTCAGTTCTATTACCTCTAGAGTGTTGGCTCATGAACTCTGAAGCATTATGGCTTGTTAAATTTATTAGTCTACCTCTTTAGATACTGAGTTTGAATACAAACCATCCTAAAATATCTCAATGGAAAAGATTTATTTTCCTGCTTTAAAATTGATTTACCTCAAGAACCTTCCATTTATCACTCAGCCTCAGCCGAGAAGATAATGAAAGTGAGGTCTTCTAAATTGCAGATATATATATTTTTTTCACATTGTTCAAGACATGTTGCTGGATTCCATTCAGATTTTCACTGTGCGCTCATTTTTTTTCAGCTTTAAAGAGGCTTTTCAAATGCCTTTTACCACAATATCAAGAAAGATACTTTGTGAGGATATACTACCACTGTTTCCTCTTCTGTCTTTGTCAAAAGCATCTTCATCCATGAGAATTCCCACTTCAGTAGCATATTATGAGGTAACTCACAGAATTAACCTTTTTACTAATTTTTAATATTCTAATCTAGGCACTAAGAGACCTTTTTGTGCTTTATATCTCGAGTCATTTGAATTTGATTTCAGTTGGTTTCTAATTCTATTAAAATGCTGCTTTATTTTCTTCATTCTTTGTTTTCTTTCTGTAGGATTCCTCTAGAGCTTCCTTGTCACATTTCACTGGTCAAAATCAGTTTATTGATTACATATCTTTTCAAGTACCTGATGAGTGTTTCTCGGATATTGTAAATTGCATATGCATAGTCAGGGGATTTATGCATGACTCACACTGTCTAAAAAAGGGTTATAGTTCTTTGGAAGCTGTGCTGTTATGTATTCCTGATGATTATCAATGTGTGGATCTGTCTTTGTACAAGGTAACATCTGAGAAAATGAGAAATATTTCAAACATCCTTTCTAGTCCCAATTTTAATGTTAGTAAATCTTAAGATTTATCCTTTTTTTTAAAATATGTTGTTTAAACAGGATAGTCAAATTGTCTTGTTACTAAACAAAGCTTCAATGACGTCAGAAAGTGCTGGAGATGGTTGTATGATGATTGTGCAAGCAAGTGATCTACCATATATCTCTATATCAAGATCTGCTTATACAGATATCTGGAGGTTACAAGAACTGAAGGTAAGTTGTACTATGTCTATTGTTTTCATTGTTGATGGCATAAAATAGTGATCTTAAACATATTCCTGAGGCGCTCTTTGAATTTCATTGCTTCTCTATCATGTCTATTTATATAAGTTCTGGTTCATTGGATTTGAACATATATACTTGAGGCGCTCTTTGAATTTCAAAATACATCTTTCAGACAAAACGTATTCCTATCCTTGCGAGTTATATGCTCCGTATACCTGGAGCCTTTTCTTTTTTTCCTTTCCATTCTTATTATTATCCTGATTGAATATCTCCCCAGAAGCTCAGCCTTTGTTTATGTGCAAACAATAGAGTTTATGCAAAATAGGAAAGGGGATCAGAAGACAAGTAAATCATCTCTAAAAGAGCAAGAAAACATGTAAATATTGTATCAATGTCAGTATACAGCATATAACTCTATGTAGTTGTATGGAAATTACAATTAAGCAAACCTAGTAGGCAATAGAGATACTTCAGAAATCAAGGAGAAAATTTTTGGTGTCCAAGAGAAACAGTTTGTCCTAAGGTAGGAAATTTCCTGTTCTGCATATATTTTCTTTATAGTTCTTTTACTCATCAAAAGACCCAAAAAAGAGAACAAGAAAAACTAAGAGGATATTTAGTTAAAGAAAATATTTTTTGTAGTTTAAAAATATTATATTATTTTCATTTGCTTCTTGTTTCAAAAATTTGTGTAGAAAATTATAAAAATAGAAACAATGTTTTTATAATTTTAGGTATAAATCTCTGAAACTAGGAAGTAAATTGAAAGTATGATGACCTTTTATAATTATTCATGAAAACAAATGACAAAAATAGAAAAGTCCTAAACCTTGGAGATTCTAAGGGCCTGGCTTTTGTTTTTGGAAACGTTTTATATTTTTACTTTTTATTACAAAATTGCTACACTGTTTTCATTCTGTTTTGTAAGATTTGTATATGAAACAGTAAAAATAGAAAAAAAAAAATATTAACAGTGTTTCCTATTCAAATCTTTGAGAACAGGAAATGTAATGAAAACAAAGTGTGATGTTTTGTAATTAAAAGTGAAAACAGAAAACCTTTTCCGAAACCAAACAACAGTCCCTAATATTTTGATCCTCTGATCCTCAGCAGTTCTTTTCATCATTTCTAATACAAACGTTTAAAAATTGGGAACAATGAAAACAACTTGTCTTTGTTGTAATTATTTCTGAAAACAAAATGAAAACAGAAAATGTCTTCTTGAACCAAACGTATCCTAATAATTTAATCCTCAATCATCTCATTATTTTCTTAATTTTCAGTGTCAAGATTCAGTGCGTCCCATAAGTTTGTGTTTTTGCGTGAGCATTTCAAAACTTGATCTTGTAAAATTAATTTTGGTTAAAAGTGAGTTAGAAGTGAATTGATTTTAGAAGAGTAATGCTGTTTGAATAGTTTTTAAGTACAATCAATTTTTAATGAATAAGTACGTGTAGGTATTAATTTTGATTATTTTATTAAAAAGTTTTGAGACATGAAAGGTTTAAAATGTGAAAATGTTCTTGAATTGCAAATAGAAAAACTCTAACGTAAAAGAATTTGTTTCTTTTACAAATTCTTACTTCTACCCAATCCCTAGTTTGAAGAGATAATCACATTTAGGAATTTGTTTACCAAACATCTTGATAAGTTCTCAAGATCACATTTGAGCTCACAAACCAATGTTTGCAGTGCAAATGGGTATCCAAACGTGCTATAAATTGTTATGAATGGTTTCTTATCATTACCACACATTATCTAGTTTACTGCTCTATTTGCTTTCGTGGTGTCAAATAGTTAATAACATCAGAGCCATGTTTAGACGTGTCACATCCATTTAGAACAGCCATGCTAGCAAATTTCACTAATGAGTCTGCTGAGAGAAAGTCAAACAAGTAATCGGCATCAATACGGAATTTCAGATATTTGACAAACAAGATGATAGAAATGTTACAAACCATATTTAGAATCAATCAGTATTTCAAGGACTGCATTTTGTTTATTTTGAAAAAGTATTAAATAGTTTCCATTTCCTTTCCAGCTTGAAATTACCATGAGTTAATTTCAATATTTATGTTCTTCTATTTCCATTCTTTCATTAAAGTCATATTTTTGTAATTATATACACCTAGGATTCTGTCACTTACCTGCACATCCGGGATGAGAAAGCTCGCACCATCCCTCATTCTGTAATTGCTCCCTTGGCAGTTAGTGGTGAGTTCTGACTCTCTTGCTAAAACGCATAGTAACTTTTAAAAGATCTTCCTAGCAGAAGTTCCTGCGAAATATTAAATTGATAGATCACTTATACCATTTTAATCATAATTATAGACTGATTCTACCTAACCACAGAATATCTGCTTCAAAGTTTAATTACATGCAATGTATTTGATTTATGAACTGATATAATTATGTAGTGTGTTGATCTCTATCTTTTAAGCTAATTAATACATTGGAATAAGAAGGAAAACATTAGGACATGCTATACATTTATTCATATTGTGGATACAAGAATTCCAATTTAGGAAGTCAGTAAAACATGTTTCTGCTTAAATAAAAAATTGGGTTTTGTTAACCTATGTCTCCTTAGGGCTGGGTATAGGCCTCAAAAAGTATTAAGTTTTTATTGAAAAAGAATAAGTTATAAAAGTGTGATAAATGCTTCCTTTTTTGATAAATTTATTATTATTAGTTGCTTAAACGCCACCCTCTGGATTGAGGTTAATGTTTTCCTATAAGTAATCAAATTCTAGAAACACGATTTTATCTAATAGTGTTTGTTAACATTTGCCAATATCAGAGTTACAAAAGTTGAGGTATTAGAATTGGTAATGGATGTAAGATTGGATTACAGATTTAATGTTATATGTAATGATCAATCAAACGGTTTTTCAAAATATATGCTTTTTGAAGTAACAAATTGCGGAACTAAATGATGATAATAATTTTGAATATTCTGTTTTCCTCCTCCTCTAAACGGAATTTTTAGTACTTCTGTAGTATGTACTCTTTCTTCTTTAAAATAAAAGACACTTGGCATGTCTGGTCATTTTTCTCTAATTTATTTATTTTTCCTAAAATAGAAATGAGAAAAAATTACTAAATAGAAAAAGATAATCGTAAGGGAGTAGGTATTAAAGAAGCATTGAAAAATTACTTCCTCCCTTTAAAGATATCCAAGATTCCTTCCTTTGATCCGAGTATAAGCCATTTAACTGGTTAACGGTTGCACTGTACCCTTGATAACAGCATCACGAGGTGTGGCTTGTGTATTTGCGGCAAGAAAGCGTGCTCTGGTCTACATTTTGGAAGAAGATGAAGATGAGGTCTCGGATGCAGAATAATTTCCTTGGTTTATTTTTCCTTTGATAGCAATTTTTGCTCTTGTTTTGGGTTTCAAATATCTTTATAGTCCTTGAAAACATTGTTGTAGCATGTCCATATCCCATATTAGCGTTCATATTCTTGCGGCCAACTATTACTGTACATTTGAAAGCACAAAATTATATTTATTATTATTATTTCTGATAAAAGTAAACAGTCCTGCCCAAAAAAGTTAAGAAAAGATGGAACGAATGAAAGAATCAATAGTACGGGCTTGGTGAGAGTAAAGTATCCGAACATGTATGACTTTCATCCATTATCCATAGATAAACTTTATTCTTTCACATGGGATCATACGATAATGATACACAAAATAAAGGGAGAGAACCCAAATGCAACATATACTCCTAGTTTATATTTTGGCTTACATACTCCTATAGCATTGTGTGATAATTGGCCAATTTCTTTAGAGGTAACAAGTTGCTATTATTGTATTTTTTTTCATCCACTATTTTTTTCAATCTTTTAACTTCCGTTCTTCTGTACAGAACATGGCCCTGAAATAATTCCATATTTTGTCAATAATTGTAAATCGCAGTCATGCCTGCAGAACGGCTAGCTGCCACCATTAACATTCCAAAAGCAGAGTTTTCTCGTGAACCGGAATTGCATAATTCCAATTCAAAATGGTAATAATTTATTAATGTGCCTTGATTTACAGGCTTTTTTTATTTAAATAATGCTTTTTTTAAAAATAATTTCTTAAAATAGGTATATTTTAAAACTAATTCCCTGGTGCTTTTTTTTGTCAACTCAATAACAGTATTGTATATGCATAAATAATAGTAAATTTTTATTATTATTTTAATAGAGTATCGTTCAAATATTACCGATACTATACTAAAAATTGACACTTTCAAAATAGCATGAGTATTGAATAAAATGAAACGATAATATATTTTTATTATTATTTTAATACATTATCATCGTTCGATACTCATATTTTTTTAATCAATTTTAATATTATCGTCACAAATTAATCGATATTTTTTTTTATTATTTTAAAATTCTATGGCTTCAAAATTTTCGATACTCATATTTTTTATATTTTTTATGTGATTGATGTTCATGATGTTAACGAGGAACTGCATCCATTGTCGTTACAAAATCGCATGCCTAATTTGTGATTCCTCTAGCCTGTTGGACTGTACATATGCTGAGGTTGTCAATTTGAAGATTACCCCTGCTCTGATGCATGCACAATCGAGTCAATTTAAAGGATCTACGTTGGAATTTAAAACTGAACAAGCTTGATGGTTCCACCAAAAGTTATGCTTACTTATAGGCCATGTTATTTTTATATGGTTTCAAATATCAATTTTTCTAGCGAGTACCAAAGGCACATGTTAAGAAATCAATAAATAATAAGATTTTATTGAAAATGGTGTCATTTAATATTAATTGTGCATTTGATCTTGTAATTTTTAATAAAAATATTATATATAAGTTTTTATTTTGTGTTCTTAGACACGTTAGAAAAACCGTTAAAATATTTTAGATTTGTCGATGGGTTTCAGAATCCACATCTCGTATTGTCCAATATTTTCCCAGCATTTTGCCCCAAACTTTTGGTTTTGAATCACATTGAGAATATCACCTTAGTTTCCCCAGTATTAATAAACTTTTCTAATGGTTAGCTATATGGTCATTCACTTATTTACTTGATAATTTTCATCCGGCTATTCTATGACAGGATACAGTATTTGACCCAGTTTCTCTGACTTGCGGCCACATATTCTGCTATACCTGCGCTTGCTCAGCAGCATAGTAACTATTGTTGATGGACTTAAGGCTGCGGATCCTAAAGCAAAATGCCCTCTATGCCGACAGGTAAGCTACCGGATATAGCAAGCATTAAGCTCTCCTACAATTACATTATTTTCAACGGGAATGTACAAAGGGGAGATGTTCGTTCTGATTACATAAATAACTTCTATTAATTGAAACATATGACACATGTTAATAACTTGTGAATGCACCCTTTACTGGTCATTAGAGCCAATGGATGGTGATTGAAGTTATACTTAATCGCACCCTTTACTAGTCATTAGAGCCAATAGGCTAGAGCAATCACAAATTAGGCATGTGATTTTGTAACGACAATAGATGCAGCTGATTGTAAACACCATGAACATCAATCATATAAAAAATATGAGTATTAAAAGTTTTGAAGTGATAAAATTTTAAAATAATAATAATAAAATGAATATCAGTTAATTTGTCATGATAAGATTAAAATTGATTAAAAAAATGTGAATAAGACGACGATAATGTATTAAAATAATAATAAAAATATATTATCGTTTTATTTTGTCCGATATTTATGCAATTTTGACAAGTGTTAATTTTTAACGTAATATTGATAATATTGGAACGATATTTTATTAAAATAATAATAAAAATTTATTATCATTTATGTATGTGCGATACTGCTACTAAGTTGACAATAAAAAGCATTAAGAAATTAGTTTTAAAATATACCTATTTTAAAAAATTATTTTTAAAAAAATATTAAAAAGCCTGATTTACATGTCAAGTTAGATCCAGCATCTTTTTGAATTGTTAGTGAGGATCACAGGACTATGTGCAGTCATTATGCAGACAAGTACAAGTACTGAGAAAAAATCATGAAGCACACAGGCAGCAAATAGGACTAAAAGCAAATAGCAGTTCAAATTGATTTAAACTATAATGTCCCAGTGAAACGTGAAACTACACAAGTAACACCAGTTTGGTTGAATGAACAGAAAGCTTACTATACAGAATTAAATACAACCCAGTAAATGCAGTAAATATCCTAGTTTCTTGAGATTCCACACTAAGACCTTCCCTAGTTTAAGCAACAATAGACTCTTCAGTTTAGAAAGAAGAAAACGATTGCGTCCTGACAACTTGCAGGTAGGAAAGGTGACTGGAAAACTAGGTTTCCGCACAGTTGTTTATCGATCAACGCACGGTGAAATCTTTAATTCTGCACCACATAATTCATATCTTTGCTCATGCTATGGAATTTCAGCAGATAGCAATTCTGAATGTCAGGAAAGAAGCCTTCGATGCTATAACCAGAAAAATTAATGTTCCGATCATCACAGATGAGTAATGCCTCCCCGATCGCTACGAGTCATCCAATTCAACAAGTTGTGCCCGTCTCTCAGCAGCTTTCTTCCGAATAAAAATACCCCATCTTAAAGCTGCCTTAAGCTTGAGCCACCCCACAACAGCTTTGCCTGAGGAGCGGTTAGGCTCATCGTCAAAATTGTAGCTCATGGGGGTTGGAGGCATGTATGCAGATGAACTAGGGAACCCATCTTCGTGTGTATTAAAGGAATGATGCGCTTGGCCTCCCATATTAAAAATACGGAGCAGATGTTGCATATCTTCATTTTCTAGCATCTCATGACTTCTAATACGAATCTCCTCCTCTGGGAAGAACTCTTCAACTCCTCTATAAGTAGGATTTGAAATGCTGGCAGTCTGGAAGCCATGTGTGACTGATTGTGGAGGACCAAGAGTCAGCCCATTTTCGTTTCTTGGAAGTTGAGCTTGGTGTGAAACACTCATTAATTGGTTTTGTAGAGGAAATGTATTGTCATCAAACTGAACGGATGTGTTAAGATTAGCATTCTGTGGTTGCATGGAGAATCTGGTACTTGTCCCATCATGATAACCTGCAGATATTCATGTGTAGTCAGCAACAAAAAAATTTCTCACGGGCTCACCATTTTTTTTTAAGTTTATCTGCATTGTTCCTGTAATGCTGTCATTCTCTTCTGCTTACAACCCCACGAGTTAAAATTTTTACCATGTGTGCCGTAAAAATTTATTATTCTAAATCATGTCACGCATGAGTGTTGTCAACAGCGGATTGCGGAAAATCGCAAAAAAATAAAAAAAAAATAAAATCGCAATGTCATACAGTCAAATATAAAATATTAAACAGTATATGAATAAAATAAGCTACATAAAAATTAAAAAAATCTATATTAAAGAGGTGACATACGATTAACTCAAGTCAAAAGTTAAATAGAACAGAACATAGATGAAGAGGATAATCTTGAAATAGAAGAGGAAATGAGAGATGAATATTTAAAAAAAAAAAAAAAACAGTGAGGGTCCGAAGGATGATACAGGTGACGAAAGAAACAAAAGATAAAAAAAGAGGGAAGTGAAACTGAGAAAGATCAAAGAGGAGAATAAAGAAAAGAAACAAATGAAAAAAAAAAAAGCAGAAAACTGCAACTACATGACTCGCCGGGGACAACCGTGCTCGTTGGGACTGGCTGGAGGCAACAGTGGTTGCTGGAGATGATGGCTGGAGGAGGTGCACTGCGTAGGTGATGAGAAATGAATGCCTGTTGTACTCTATTTTTCATATTTCTAAAAAGGAGTTTAACGGAGGAAAGAAATGGGTGCGTATACTGTGCTCATGTTCTGCTCAAATAAAGAAGGTGAATAGAGGGAAGAGAGACTGTTCATCTTCAAAAATAGTCACGTGAGTAAACAGTGACTATTCAGTTTTTTTTTTTATTAAAATAAAGAGACAAAAACAACTTCAAAACTATCAAATATGCTATTTTCGCTTTATATACAGTTTTCGCCACATGAATAGCGTCCGCCAATATGCTAACATCACTGGTTTAATACGACACTTACTACTAAATACCCTTTGCTAACAAAGAAGAGGAAAAGTTGAGGCAAGTGTTTTCATAAAACAATTCAATTTAATGAAAATTGAAAAACTAGAACCTAAAACCGAAAATATGAAAAACTAATTTTTTTATTAGGTTCGTTAATATTAGTTAAAACAAGATTTAAATTATGGAATTGTGTAGTTGTCTGGATCTGGAATGAGCTGTTCTAGTATCAATTAGGTTATGACTCAAGGGTTGAGATATTTAATACTTTTAATTAATTTTTATTATATAGTTTAATGTTTATTTATTGCACCTTTATAAATAAAAAAATTAAATTAAAACTAAACCATTCTAATGCAAATATCAACAAAACAACATAAAATTGGTCAACTTTTACAGGTATGGCTTTGAAGAGAAATATTAGGATTTGGATCGCTTACAGCTCTGGCAGGAATTACAAGTTGCAATTTTGCATTCACTTAAATAAATTTTGATAAAAAATGATTTTAACTTAAAGCTAAAAAAAATTCGCTTAAGCGAACTTAGAAAAAGTGACAAAAAAATTGGAGATCAAATATGGAAGCAAGAGCACAAGAAAGAGGGAGAGGGAGAACGGAAGAAGGCTAACAGAGGGAAGGAAAGAAGGTTAGATGAAGAGAGAAGGGGAGGAGGATGAATGGAGATGAAGGGGAGAGGAGAAGAGCTAGATGAGGAGAGAGGAGGAACAATTTTTTGCTTAAGCAAATCTTCTCTCCGTTACTTCGGCTCTTTCTCTTTTCTTTTCTTTCCAATTCAGCCACCCTCTTCCTCTCTTCCTCTCATTCAGTTCCTTTTTTTTTTTCTCTTCTCTATCTCTTCTTTGCCAACCCAGTTTTCTTCCCCCTCTCCTCATCTAGCTCTCCTTCCTTTCCCTCCCCTTCACCCCACTCATCCTTCTCTCCTTCTCTCCCCATCTAACCCTTTTTTCTTTTATCTATTAGCCTTTTTCCTCTCTCCTTCTCTCTTGTTCCCATCTCTCATCTCTCTATCAGCCTCTCTTTCTCTCTTTTTCTTTTGAGTTTTTTGTCACTCTTTCTAAATTTGCTTAAGCAAATGTTTTTGGCTTAAGCGAATTTTTTTTAACTTAAGTTAAAATCATTTTTTATCAAAATTTGGCTTAAGTGAATGCAAAACTGCAGCCTACAGACGGATTCAGATCCTCTCATGTTGTGGCGGGAACATGACCCTCATGTTCAAATTCGCTTAAGCGAATTTTGAATGGCTTAAGCGAATTCAAAATGACTTAAGCAAATTATGTAAAAAAAAAAAATTATGTAGAAACTAACAGCATGTTATCAAAGGATAAAATTTTATAAAATTTATTATCAAAGTTAATTTTACTCATCTAAAAACATTTAATTGTAACAGCAAAACATGAATAAAAATTTCATTTTATTCCATTCCATTAATGATACACAATTATTCACAATGAAATTTACCAAAAAAAAATTCATCAATACATAGACAAGTCAAAAATAAAAGAAGTTGAGGCATTCTATTCCATTCCATTCATATCAAATATCATCCGGGAATAAATGAGAGAGAAGATGAATTTTTTTTTTGGTAAATTTCATTGTGAATAATTGTGTATTATTAATGGAATGGAATAAAATGAAGTTTTTATTCATGTTTTGCTGTTACAAATAAATGTTTCTGGATGAGTAGAATTAAATTTTATCCTTTTAACATGAAGGTCATGTTCCCGCCACAACATGAGAGGATCCGAATCCGCCTGCAGACAATCCGAATCCAAAATATTATGGGTGCTAGGTGTATGACTATGAACAAAGGGAAGAAAATAATTATTAAAAATAATACAGAAAAGAAAAAGTAGGAAAAGATAAAAAAAAAGGGTGGGTTCAGAAAATAAAGTAAACCAAAAACACCAGCAAAAGTTTGCTGCTAAATATTTTACTAGGAAATATGTACCTCCAACTCCAACTGTTACTTCTGACTCCATTGAAGGGTGGCCACCATGTACCGGAAGTGGCAAAGTTGAGATGGAAATCTGCTGAGGTGAGTTTGAATATTCATGGGAGCCCATTGCAGGCTGAGGATAAGCAGTGTCCAAAGGCTTATCTTGATTGTAATTTAGCAGAGACTTCCCATCATACTCAATAACATGCATCCAATTGTCGTAGGCCTTCTTCACCAACGTGTCTACATAAACCTACAACAGAAACCATTGACATTTTTCAGAAAATTCGTCTTTTTTCTACTCCACGTTTTTGAAGAAATTTCAACATCTTTTTAATTTCCCATGTTCTCTTTCATAGAAGAAATTTTTTTCCCTTCCGTATCTTGGGTAACACATTAGCCTACGGTAAGTGCTATTCATGTTGTATTAAGCCGACTGCCAAGCTGATTTTTCACACAAAGTTCCAGGAATAACAATTATAGATACCCTATGCCTGATTACATTGTTTAAAACTCCAAAAATTTTCATGCCACAAGAAAGACCATGAATAAAACAAAACTAAGCAAAAATATTGCAGCCAAAGCACAGGACATTGTCAAATTAACATTGTGAAGTCAATTATGTGTATAGTATTTTAGTCAGACGGTTTCAACACGAAGAATTGCTTGTGCTAATAACCAAGTTGGAAGGAAAAACAGAACTTTCATTATGTCATTAGAAATCAGGTTAATCGTATGATGGAAGAACAGTATGGTCCGACTTGAAACATAAGTGGAAAATTTTACTTGCAGCTGTACTTACCTTTTGGCTGTCAGAGAGGGAATCAGCTGAGTAATATTGATCGTTGGCAATTAAACCACTCAATTCATAAATGTTATTGAAAACAACACCCACATTTCTTGCATCATCAGGATAGTATACATAAAGTTTTCCACTGAGAATACAAGTCTTTGCATGCTCAACAAGAATATCCCACATCTTATTTGACATGCCGCTCCCAAGAATCTACAATAAGAAAGACAGTTCACCTATGAATAGCTTTGACAGATTAAATAATTTTAAATCAAGTCAAATACAGAACCGAAAGAATTGAATATTTGATCAGTTGACATTAACATCTTAAATGGACACAAGTCTGGATTCTTACATTCCGCAGTCTCTGAGGGTCTCTGACCACAAATCTAAGGAAGTCTTCAACAGTAAATATTCCAGCTTTATTTAGCCTTTTGTGAAAAGACCCATCCTTGCCAATCTTCTCCAGTCTCCAGACCTCATCATTCAAGGCGGGTGGGTAGTGTTTCTTGTATACTATAATACAATCGAAGTTTCATTACAACAATTTTCAAGAAAAATATAGCAAACATAGGGAAATGAACTTACATTCTCCACGATGATCCTTAACGGTGAAAGCTTCTGATTTGGCTTCACGAATACGCATCCCCTCACAACAACCTGAGGAAACTTTCAGCCCCAATCTGAACTTCCTACTCCTTATCCAGCTAGAGTTATCAGTAAATGTAAGCTCACCAAGTGTTCCTACACCATCCTTCAGGGTGATTTGCAGATCACCGGTTAGCAGAGGCCTTTTTCCTTCCCGCTCTTTCACAATATGACTATCAAACTCATCTTCACTCCAATTATCATCATCCTCATGATTGAAATCTCCCTCTAGCACAATAACGTCTAGTTTGGCACATGACTCTGGGCCTGATGTGACAACATGGCCTGTGTTTGCTTCAATTAAAACAATATGTATGGCTGCCCCTTGCTCGCCCTCTACTTTGCCCCCAGTAAAGAGGGGAAGGGACAGCCTGGTCTTGAAGTGCAACTGTAAATTTTTGCCATCAGGGCCTTCAATACGCTTCGGAGAAGACCTGAATTTTATTAGAGAAACGAATTATAGATGTTACAAACTCATGGCGATAGTATAAGCTGAACCTGAAATTAAAACACAAATCACAGAACAAACGAGTCACTAAATTTTTTACTTCAAAATATAACAGGATTTCCATTAGCTTAGATCATCTGTCTAATTCCATTATTCCCACCTCTAGCAAAGCAAGTTGTTGCAGGAAATAATCTTGCCATGAAAGCGTAAGCATCGAAAGAACAGGAAAACCATGTATTGTGCACATTCATCTTATATATAACATTTTCTTTAACAAGCAGAGGGAACAAAAGAAGTACCTGCCAGACAGCTTGGAAGGGCCTAGTTTTGCCAAGGCACGCTCGACTTCTTCACTAACCTGTCCAGCGGGAAGCGTGAAAAATAAGAAATAAGACACGTCCTTCAGCAAACATTATCCATACAAAGTGGCATGCATTCATTTCATTATACTTTATAGAACTGTTTTAAATTCTACTTATTTTTATGAGAAACAAATAATTAATTTATCAAAATTAATAAAAAATAATTGTACGTAATAAATGTATACTATATTAAAAAATATCTATAATATTAAATGGTTAAATTTGTGACATATATATTAAATGGATTAAAATATTCACTGATACGAGGAATTAGCTAACGTCTTCTTAATACAATTTTCATAATAATTAAGTATATAAAAAAAATACATAAAAATATAAAAAAATTAGCCATTAATGTATTTAGAAATGGGTATTTATTTTTTATAATTAGGATAAAAAATACTTGCAGTTTGTTATAAAAAAGAGTGATGAGAAGACTTGGATATATAGACACTACAGGACAACTTATTCCAGAAAGCTTCTGATAGATGAGTAACAAAGGGCGACCTAGTGTACGACGAGGCTCCCACCTAAAGGGGTTTGGGAAGGCAGATATATGCAGCCTTGTCCCCACAAGCAAAGAGGCTGTTTCCTCTCATAGATGAGCAAAGAAAAAAACAAAACGATAACATTACCTTATACGGTTTTGAATATGAGAGCACTAATTTCCTAGTCAATTCTACGGGAGCCCCAGATTAAGACAAGGCCTACCAGCCAAATTTGCAATAAATTTTAGCTACAGACCTGCAGCTGAGGGTTGCAGTTTCTGGGGCCTGATGGGATGAACGGTAGATGCAAGTGATAAATTCAGGTAATATAATCCAACAATTAAATTAAAAAATAAATAAATAAAATTATCAGATTATCATATTCAGAATTAATACCACAATGAACTGAATTTTCTTACAACTCTGCGTAGAATAGGCTCCAGTGATGAACAAAGTTTCTGCAGACTGTCCACCTTCAGGGCTTCAACAATTACGCTGCAAATTATATATAAAAATCAACAACAAATGCATTCATGAACAAGTTTGAGAGGTCATGTTATGCTTTAACAGACGAAACATAAGTTCTTAAGCATAACAATAAGATAGCCAAGTATTCTTCCACAGGGATTTCTTTCCGAGGTAGATACTCATTAGTTGATAATGAGAAAGTCAGAACACTCTACTCAATACCAAAACGCAAACTCGGTCGGTTTCACACTTAGCTCGTTAGAATCATTTTTTCACACGAGTTTCAGACTCGTAGGAAAACAACGCTTTTCCGTGATTTTTATCCCTTTAAAAAAGCTAGAAATTAAAATCGGATAAGGTGACGAATTCAAACACACTTGTTCCGAACCGAATTCCACGCAAACATTGTAAGATTAAACCTAGCAACGACATAGACTCGTAACAGTGTTCGAAGAAGGAACAACCGAATCCAATGAACTACCAGAATCTGAAAATGGAAGAAGAACGCGCTATAATTACCTAGCCAAAGCAGGTCGCTTCCGATCAGGTTGTCCTTCTTCGGAGGAAGCCGAATCCAAACTTCGCTTCTCTCTCGCCACACCGCCTGATCTCTCCGCATACCTCCCGTGCATTATTCCAATTCCAAGCTGAAATTCGCGCTGTTTGGTTGCCGAGAAAGTGAAAGAAAAGAACACCACGGCGGCACACAACGAAAGTAGCAGGTTGTCTCAGTCACGTAAAGTTCAACGGTTCAATTTGACTCAAAAACCTAAAAAAATTAAAAAAGAGAAAATCTGTAGTTAGCGCTGGTTTTGGTTCGTTTTCTGAGCAGCCAAACAAGTAGCAGTGCTGTGGCGACGAAAAAAAGGGTGAAAGAGAAAAAGGGAAAAGTAGCGGGAAAGGTTGAAAAAGTACGGAATGTGAGAAATTTCGGGGAAACGTCTCAGAATTTTCTTTTTGGCCCCCCAAACACTATTTTGCATTCTGACGCTTATTTTGTCGCAATTCGCATGCCACAAAACAACCCCAACTCACTCACCAATTCTCAAACCTCCTTTTCACCCTCTTTGTTCTCTATCTTTTGCTTTTTCATTCGTGAGAGAATCTTTCTCCTCCTTTTACTATTTTGCCATGTGGCGTCATTGGGTAGGTCATCCACTGCTAGGTGTTGTCGTACTTCGCCGTCAGATTTCAGATTTCGTTCTCTATTTCAGGTCTGATTTCCCTCGTCGCTCGTCCTAGGTTTTTTCCTTTTTTACAATATTACTGCCAATCTATAGGATAATACACGATATAACATTTTTTTTTAATGAATGGGTATTTTAAAGTGTATTATTCAATATCGTTAACACTAATAATTATTTATTGATGATTTGTAGTAAATCAAAAATTATAAAATAAATTACTAATACTCTTTTTTCTATTTTAAATAAATTAATTACAATTAATTACTAATTTAAATAGCTTTTACCGTGCTATATGCTTGATTCTCTTTAAACAAAACATCATATTCAAATATAGTGTATGAAAAAAAAGTAGTTGAGAGAATTAATCGATCCTATTATACTGTGAATGATTTCAACTTGAGCGGCTTTAATAAATAATATTTGTTTTAGTTTAACTGAGTAATAGAAATGCAAGGACGTTAAATATTTGAATAAAAAAATTTATAGTTTATAATAATTTTATTCAGCTCATAATTATTTTTTTATAAAAAAATACATGGTTAAATAAATAAATAAACATTTGAAGCTGAAAAAACAATAATACTAATTAATACGAAAACTTTTAACGAATAACGTGACCTGATTTTGGCTACACCTTGAATTCAGTCAAATATTTTATTTAACCTTTTACTTATCCAATAAAATATATTCACGTTTTTACTCGTGTAATATTCGCATGAATTTCTTTCATATTGAAAAAAGTATAAATAAAAAGGTTTCATATTTATACTATTTTATATTGAATCTAGTGTAAGTATATAGGTAAGAAATTTATATTGAATAATAAATGTTGGCCATCTAAGTATTCTTGTGCGGGATATGCAGTCCCACGTAGTACAGTGGACTAATGCTGTAGGTCACATTCTTTTATTTTAGTTGATGACCAATGTTTTCTTGGGATTTCTCGTGATGAGAAACCTTTTTGGATGAGATCTACAGTTTTTTATTTTTATTTTTTATCTTCTCTATTTCTTCAATATTCTAAATAATTAAAAAAATTCACATTTTCTTATTTCTCTCTAAAATATAAGAGAATTAATAATTTTCTTAATCTGTGTGTAGTAACATTCTAAAAACACAAAAACAAAGAGAATATAGTGGTTAAAAAGGAGAAAGATTGTGCTTTCTTTATATATATAATTCAAACTATTTTTAGAAGAAAAAAAAGTTGTTTTGTAACATTGTTTTTAAGAACAATTTTAAAGCCCCACCATATAGCATAAAAGAGGCACTAGCATTCCATAACTTTAAAGCTCTTATCTATTCAGTTGATAGTACAAGTTTGAAGAACCACAACATCTATTTTCCACCACTCAATAGAAATGCAACTAACCATAACACACGAAATACCCAAATCTCAAAATGGCTAGGTTCCATTGCAGAAAACGATGGTGTTTGGATTGATGGTAGGGTTGACCATGCCCCACTATTTGATCATGACCCATAATAGTTCCAACACAGATTCAACCATTATACATAGAGAAGAGCAAGGTAGCGACAGAAGATGAAATGAAGATGTCAGTTGGTCAAGACTATATCAGAATTTAATATCGTTCTAAAAAAACCTATTGATGATCTTTTATTTATTTTTTAAAAATCCAAAAACTGCTTTTGAAAACATTACCCAAACACACCCATATTTATTTGTATCTGTTCGAGATCTTTTAAATTAATCATTTCGGAAATTAACTTAAAAACACAATTGATTTTAATTATTATTTATAGTCAACTTTTCTTGTCGGCTGTAGTTTCTTGTATTAATTTATTTACTCTTAATCCTAAAATGCAATACAAACAATAATAAAGAAAAAAAATACATTGATAATTTACACTAAACTAACATTTAAGTGATGTGTGATTACAAATTGTTTGTTTTATCATACATTCTATACCTTCGTTTGGTAAAACAGTCCGTTATTAATTGAGTGGAGGGATTGAAATATGTAAATATATGCGTAATTTTGTTGGTAGATTAAGATTTATCAAACACCCGCTAAGAGTAATTTCTATATTTTAAACGCACATATAATGAGATGTGATGGGTATATTGACACTTTAATGCTCAAATTAGTATAAATAAATAAAAGTTTATAAGAATGATAATGCTTACCTATGTCAAGATGATAATATTTCAGATTTAGATTCAGTACAATGTTCAGTAACTGTACCAGCTATGTTATTTTATATTTTTGTTTAAGTAAATATATTTTTATTTAAGTAAAATTTTGCATAAATACACGGTGCACCAAATTCTGATGCTAATATTTCTTATACAAAAGTCTATATACCAAAAGTATAGAGACAGAGTTACTGCAGTTATCCTAATGATGGGTCGTGTTACAGTGAGCTGAATATCAAATTGACCTCCGTCGTCAAAGAATATTCTATTGATTAAGTACAATAGCTCAAGAGTCGTACGATTTGGCCTGCTTTTTTCCTTTTGTAGGAAAAAAATTATTAAAAAAAAACCAAAAAGTATAATTTTTAAACAATTTATCAGAATAAGTAAAATAAACAGTAAAAATATTATAAAACTATTTTTTATAAAAGTATTATTAAAGAAGATTATCACAGCTGTCATAGGAGAAAAGTAACTTCCAACATATATGCGTCACTGCATATGAAAGTGACAGATGTTAGTATTACAGAAGTAACTCAGACTAAACCATGTATCAGATGGAAGTTAATGATACTTAGTAGACATACGCTATTAAATGATGGCTTATTTAACACGCAAGAGAATGACTCACATGTCTTCAATTGATAATTTGCGTTTCTTTAATCTGATGACAATGTTTGAAAAATTATTAATAAACCTTTTTTTTTCCTATTTTCACTTTACACTTAATTTGTCATGCCATTTTTATGCAATTTTAAGTTTAAACTTTTGTTTTGTTGTTACTATTTTTTTTTAGCTCATTATTAGCAATTGTTTTTGTTTTTTAATTTAATTTTTTATTGTTATTATTTTAATTGTATGTTGTTTTTCTTATTGTTAGTTAACATAATGAAATACTACTGTAAGAAGTTTTTGAGATGTTTTAATTTAGTTAAATGAATTTATTTGAATATATTAACTGTTTATGTATTTTAATTAAATATTATTTAAAAAAAGTCAAATTATTGTAATTGTGTATTTAAATAGTAAAAATTATGAAGAAAGTGAAGGTTCAGTGTTTAAACAAATAAAATATAATATTAGTTATAATAAACTTGGAAAAAATAGTTTAAAAACAAAATAAAAAAATGAAATCATTTTAAGTGTGATCGGTAAGTTTTTGATATCATAAAAAAAATAGTAAATTTCAAATACATAAAATGATGTTTAGTGTATGATAAATGTTTTGAGCAACAATTATCAATAATAATGTTTGAGTTATATGTTAATATTCATTTAGTTAGCAATTCTATAATGATTATTTAAAGTAATATAAGTGATATATTAGGTAAATAATATAAAATATTTAATTATTAATTTTACAATTATATAATTGATAAATATTAAAAAAAAATGTAATAATATTTTCAATTTACTCTATTGAAAACATTTCTTTGTCAGATTATGATAATTTTAATTATAATTTACCAATATATAAATAAATAATTAATGAAGTTGATGAGGATAAAATTAATCGTAGAAGTAATGAGGATATTATTAAAGGTAATTTCAATTCAATTATTTAATCAATTGAAATTAATATTCTAGTTTTATTTAGTGATTTTTAAAGACGAAACATGACCCTCATATTCGCATGCAAACATAAGAAGATCCCGATATGATTTTTAACGAAGTTAAATAAGATGTATATAAGTATGTAAATAATTTATAAGTTATATTATTTTTTATTTTTTACATATTATTATTATATTCTTAAAGAAATGATAAAAGTTCATTTTGAAATGATTGACAACATTATTAGCAGTTTAGCACATTAATTAGAATCATCCTAATGAAAAAAAAAAAGTTGTAAAACTACATATAATTTGTTCTTAAGAAGTGGGAGATATTTGAATAAAAAAATATTAAAATAGTGATTAAATAATATTCAATAAAAGATCTATTAATAGTTGATTTAAAGTCAAACATCTTAACTATAAAGTGTTGTTGGTTATGCATGGTGAGTAAAGACTCACCACTGTTAAAGAAAAAATATGTAATTTATTAGTAAGTATGATGGTCGACATAATTAAATGAATGTTGCAAAATTTTATTAGTTTAAATTTAAAATTTATTTATTCATAAGTATATCTTAATTAATTTTATTATTTTAACTTATATTAAATAATTATGTATACTCAGTTAATTAGTATTACAGCGTATATAGTAACATGTCACATTTGTCTCTCTATATAATAAATTGAACATAGTAATATATCATATTAATATTAAAATACTAATTATCATATGAACTATAATAATTATTTAAATATTTTTATTCTTAAATTTGATATTTAAAAATAATATAAATTTTTAAATATAATCAATTACTACTAAATTAAATATAGTAACACTAATTTAAGTCAATATTGTCCTATTCTTATGCTAGCCTAGATTTTATTTAAATTTACACAAATTAATATTAATTTGTATTTATTTAACTAAATATAATTTAAAAATATAATATTTAATATCTTATTCTCTAAAGTATATAATTACAAACAACAGTATTAAAAATTATTTTAGTCATTATACATAACTTAATATATTAATTTTTTTAATTTATTATTTTAATAAATTCATTATATTACTAAATTTAATATATTTATTCACTTATTTTAAAAAATTATATCATTTAAAAAATATTACTACACATTTTTTAAATTATATTAACTGAACAAAACTCTAAAGTGTTTTTCCTTTTCAAAAGCAATATTTTTATTTTACTTTAATTATTTCAAATAAGTATTTGAATAATTATTTTAAATCATATTTTACAACTAATATAAAATATAGAAAGAGCATTATTTATTTATTTAAATATTATTATACTAAATAAATTTTATATGCATTTCAAATTGGTTTAAATTCTTATTTTAAAATCTCAAAATTGATGCTATGTATTTTTAAATTTTTATTAACATAACTTTAGATTTTCTAATTTTTACTAAGTTAACTACAAAATTTCTAATTTTTACTAACTAAACTATAATTGAAAGAAATTAAACAACATAATATTTTCCATTTTATTTTGTGAAATAAAACTATTACAACTAATAAAAAATTAATGAATAAATCAGATAAATATTTATTTTTTAAATATAAAATAACTATACAGTCAAATAATAAATTAAAAAAAAAATTACAAGTTAATTTCTTTCAAATGATGAAAGTCTCTCTTTGTTGGTGCCGGGTCCCCTCTTTCCATGAGTGTCCCCTGCTTGCTTCCAAAAATCAGAAAAATAAAATTTCCTTCTTGTCCCTTTGTGGATCTCACTCTGGCTCTGAACAATAAACTTTCGTTGGTCTCTTACAATGTTGGAGAAAAATAAAAAATCGCCTATATAAATTCAAACTATTCCATTCACATATTGACATGTGACATAGTGATAAGAGTGACATTTTTTTAACAAGAATGACTGCGCCTCCTAGTTTAGTGACGCTTGTTAAGTAGGTGCATCTAATATACTTCTGCAAAATGTTTAAATCTAATGTGCTATACCTTTTTTTAAGAAGAGATTTGCAATATTTTCACTTTTCATCTTACCTATTTGTATAAATTGTTTAAAAATTATGCTAGTTTAATATTTTTTTATAATTTTTTGAGGTCAAAAAGCTAGATTTGGCCAGGCTTGTGCAAAATTTTTTTTTCTGATTTGTTAGGAGAGGTGGGAGTTAGGAGGTAGGGAGAGAGAGTTAGGACTGGTTTTTAATCTTGTCATTGGTCAACGGAGTGTAGTTTTACATATGACAGAATTTGAACCCATGGAAGGCTTGTGCTAGACAGGGCCTTGAGAGCATGGGCCCTACTAATGTCAAGGGCCTGGACATGTAATGGATGTAGAATACATTCAACTACCGATAATTTCTTATTACACTGCTCTTTAGTATATAAACCCTAAACGCTATATTAAATACATCATTTTTCCCCCTCTTTTTAAAATAAGAAAGGTGTTGAGAAAAGTAATGACCTCAACTGACATTCTAAGACACTAGGGGTGATGATGAATTTAGTTTGGGGTATGATACTAGGGTATCTATTATCTATCTATATTTAGGTTACATAAAAAAAACAATTATCTAGCATATCATGTACTCATTTTGAATGAACCAAATCCTAACTATATTTTTGAATTTTAGCTAAATTACATCCTTATAATTTCATGAAGTTTTCAATTAAGTCAATAGTTTAGAAGCTTTTAATTGAATTCTTGTTATAATTTTTGCATTTGAACTTTTCTCAAGTTTTGCATACAGCATTGAACATTCTTGGTTGAGGTTTAAAAAAGCTAATGAAAAACAGGTCCGGTCCCAAAACTATAACTTTTTATTAACTGAATACATTCACTACTTACATAAAAATTATAGCAAGGAATTTTCTTGAAGTATCGAGTTAAGTTAAACAAAGCTTTGACACAGGATTAAGGTCTTGACTCAATGAAAGACTGCATATATAGATGAACCATAACGCTTAAAATAATAATAAAATAAAAACTGAAAGCCTTCTCTTTTGATCAGAAACTGACATGTCAGATCTCCCATTTTTTTTTAGAAAAAGTTATACATGAGCATCTATTAAATGTACAATAAACAATAAAATTACCTATTAACAAGAACAAAAATTAGGTGTTCTTCCTTAATTCTAAAATATCCCAAAATGAATCAGCTAAAAATGGGAATACAGCAAAGAGTCTGCAGAAGAAAATCCTGTGATGGACATTAGAAAGCAGATAATCAACTGGATTCTCTGTGTGTATATAGAGATAAATATAACTAAGAGACAAGCAAAACTCTGAATTCGCAAACATGAGTTCTGGCAGCCAAGTTACTGAACTCAATGATCACCTTCACAAAATACAATTTATTGTAGACTTGGGAATGTGATGAGGACACAAGATACTCAGCTACTATTACTTCTTGCCCCGCTTCTTTCCTTTCTTTTTATCACCCTTACTTCTGGTCTTTGATCGTGACCTTTGTTTTGCAACCTTCTTAAAAGACTTCCTGTTATTTATAGGTGCCCCATGCCTTTTATCAGCAGCCACAACAGAATGGGGGGACACTGCTGCCTCCTTCCTTTCACTAGGATAATTTTCTTCTTCAGGGTTGATCTCACTCGTTACAACAGTCACTCTCACATCAGCACTTTCGTATGTCTTTGTTCCTGTCAACAACATAAGGTAAATCCAATCAACGAATGAATCACAAATCAAAAGCAGGAAGTAAATCTACAATCTTGAATTTGAATAAACTAGATTTTGTGGATTGAATTTGCTTAAAAAAGTGAGTGTAATTGTGTAAAGTGATGTGATCTATGTTTGAAAACTTTTCTGCAGAATATTGGTTGAAAGGAACCACATATCAAAATTTTCTGCAGAATCATGTTACAATTAAATGAACCTAATTTTGTGCATTTTACCATGGATTCAACCATACACGAAGACCCACATCACAAGTAAAGAAGCTTCAGACAGGTTTTAGTTACAACATTCAAGTTACTAAAGTCCCAGTAAAACAACAGGCTTAAGCAGATGACACGAATGAATGCAATTGAAGTGTGAAAAGGAAGTGAAAAACATTCTCATGCATCATCAGTTTATCGCCAAGAAAGTATGAACAAATTCATGATTGAATCAATAAATAAATAAACAAATACTAAAACTAGAGAGAAATATTCCAATTCACACGAGATTTGATAAAAAAAAGTACCAACCAGCAATAGATTCAACTTGTTCAGTAACTTCTTCTGGGTTCTCATCGATTTCATCATCATCATCATTGGGAGGTAAGCCTCCACAAATAACGAATTCTCTTTCCAACTTCCTCTGCAAAAGGTTCCAATAAAACAAAACAAAGAATATAAAATAACAAACAAACAGTAATTTCATCACACCCTAATTTTAGGGGCGAATAAATTGATTCCTAAGATAAAAGTGGACAGTGAATGAATAAAAGAGTACCTTTTTGCGGTCTTCGGTGCGTTTGCGGCGTAATGCCTCTTGTTGCAGCTTGTGTGCTTCCTTCCTCCTCTTCTTCTTGCGCTTGTGAAAGCCAGTGACATAGTCTCTCAGGTCTTTCTCGTTGAAAGAGATGCCCAAAGCTTTGTTCTTTAAAGCCCTCTTCTTAAGGTGGCCACCTCTGCGCTGCACCGCTTCCTCTTCCATCACACTTAGCCGCAATCAACCACAACCTATATTCCGTGTTGTAGGACACCACATCCTACCCAGTTCATCTCATACCAAAACCCTCTTATAACTTTGTTCCTGGAACACTAATATATATATATATAAGATACAAATTTTAAAATATTTTATAAAAATTAAAAGAACAATCTTGTTTGTTTCTGTTTCTGTTTTAAATGTTAATAAATAAATTTTATTATATTTTTACTTAGAAAAAAACTATTTTTACAAACGAAGTTCTTAAGTGTCTCAATTTTTTAAAACAAACACAGCCATTGAAAATATGACTGTGCTATTTATTCTTGAAATAAGGTGAAGAACTATTTATGATTTAATTATGTAATAGTAAGAATGACACATTTTTTTCATGAAAAAGTATACTAAAAAATTTAAATGTTTTTAAAATTTTATATTTTAACAACATTTTAATTTTTTAAATATTATTTTCCTATATTTTTACAATTTTTTTGTCTTTATGGTTAATGTAATTTTACTAAAAAGTTATATTTTTTAGATCACATCATAAGAAAAATAAGTATAAAAAAATCGTAAAATATAAATTAAAATAAAAATTAGTTTAAAGGATTAAAATAAAAATTTACTAAAATAGAAAGATAAAAATTATATTTAAATTTAATAATTATATTATTTTAAAATAATACATTCTAATTTAAAAAATAAATATATAAATGGTAAGAAATTAATTGTAACATATAAAAAATTAAGTTTATTCAGTTATAAAATTTGACGTCAATACTTGTTTAGGAATAGATTTTAAGGAATGATTACCAAATTATAAAAAAAAATTATAATAATTATATTTTTAAAATATATAAATCCAAACATTGCTTTTGAGACATACTTAATGCTTGAAATAATTATTCTCGGAAAGTGTATAAAATATATGAAAAAATGAGTTTATTAGTATCATAGTTTAAGAGAGAAAGAAATTGTGGGGAAAAAAAAAAGAGGAGATAGAAGAGAAGTGTGTTTGGGGATAAAAGTTAATAAATAAGAAAAATTGGACCCACACATATTCTTTTTCTCTACAAGCGTGGAGGAAAAAAAAGCATGAGAGGAGACTATTTTCTTTTTCATGTGTAAGTATATCTCTCCTTGTTTGTTATATTTTCTTAATTTTTTTTATCAGAGACATGTGTATTATATATATATATATATATATATATATATATAATTTTATTTTATTCTCATACCAAATAACTCAATAATCTGTTTATTTATTATTATTATTTATTTATTTGCTTCTCAAACCAAACAGAATATTAACGTCACAAAGACTATTTATTAGAAATTAAAATTAACAGAATTTATATTTTAAAATTTTATCATTGAGTCGTGTGTGGTCAAGAAAAAGAAATTAATAAACTAATCGTGTTGGCGTTCGTTCAAAAGCAAGCAAACTTTGTTTACTCCTAACTCAAGTCATTAGCATTGTTAGTCTTTGTTTGTGCCCCCAAACCGGTTTTTTTTTGTCTAGCGGTTTAGAAGCAAACCGGTTGACCGGTTCTCGCGAAAAATGGACCGACCCGATGATCCACGCGCCGCCATAATCTCCGACCGGGTGACCGTCAACGGGACCGTGAAACAGCTATCTCTTCTCGCCGACGGGAGGCTGTGGTGGCCGGAGGGAGGTCAACGGAGTTTGACCGTGGAAAAGGAGGTTCTCGGTTTCGCCAGGGACGGTCCCAACATCATTCTCAAAACCATCGTGGAGACTGAAGATGGATGCTATGGTGGTGGGAGCAGAGGAAAACTGGTCCGAAACGATGTCGTGTTTCGGCCCTCTTCCGAGGAATCGCACAGGCTCTGGTGCCAGAAGCTTAGCGAATTCATCGATTCCCTTGGTAACTAGTAACTAATTTGAATCCATTTTTGTAGCTTGTGTTGTTAATTTTGTTGTTATGCGTGACACGTTCTGATTTTTAATGGAACAGGACGCCCTAAGAGGCTTTTTGTTTTTGTTAATCCATTTGGGGGGAAGAAAGCTGCTACCAAAATTTTTCGTCATCAAGTAAAAGCTCTTTTTGACGATGCACAAGTGCAACTTACAATCCAAGGTTCTGGTTTTTTATATTTATTATTGTTATTATTATTATTATTATTATTATTATTATTATTATTATTATTATTATCATCTTTGGTTTTTCTAATAAATTTTTATTGAATATTATGTGATATCACAGAATTCAATGTATTGACATTGAGGACTTATTCTCACGAGTTCTTTGTAATTGATTTCAATAAGCTTATTGCATACCTTATCAAAACAATTTGTATATCCTTTAAGTCATCATTTAAAATTGTCTTATTGAATAAGTGCTCAAGTAAAATGTGTATCCAAATGCCCCCTAAATGTTACTATAATGTTCAATCAAAATTTGTTATTTATTTACTTCTTATCATGTGCCTGGAAAAATTGTATTATTATTAATTAATGAACAATAATTATTATATTCCTCAGAAACCAAGCGTCAGCTCCATGCAAAGCAAGTTGTTCAGTCACTTGATCTTTCCAAGTATGATGGGATTGTTTGTGTTAGTGGAGATGGGATTTTGGTTGAGGTTAGCTTGTTCGTTGTCATTATTGTTGTTGGTTACAGTTCGTATTAAATACCATTATGAGCGTGGGAATCCCTGTCTACTAATGATGATTTTGTGGTTACTTTTGTAAGCATCGTTTTCTCTTTTCTCTTTCCTTATCTTACTAGCGTCACACATTTTTAGTAGGTTGTAAATGGACTGCTTCAGAGGGAGGACTGGGACACTGCAATAAAAGTGCCCCTTGGAGTAGTTCCTGCAGGTTTTATTCCTTTTTATTTTTTTTATCGGACAAATTACATTCACCCTCCTTGAATTTATAAGAATTTCACCCGATATCCCTTCTTTTTTGACATTGCTTTAATTAACCTCTCCTAATTCATATAACTACATAAAAAGTCTTGGGCGGTTTGTGTAATCGAGAAGATATGCAATGCTGCGTTATTATTATATGAATTAAGGGCGGTTTGTGTAAGGTTAAAATAAGGAAGAGTATCCCGTAAAATTTTGGTAAGCCTCAGGAAATATAATTTGCCCTTTTTTTATTGTGTAGATAATGAGTGTACATACAAATTTAGTTATGGTAATCTTCTAATTATCTCTTCCATGATATCCATATAAAATGAATGATTCTGTATGAAGGAACGGGAAATGGCATGGCAAAATCTCTCCTCGATTCAGTTGGTGATCCTTGTGCTGTAGCTAATGCTGTTCTTGCCATTATACGAGGTTTCGATTCATTGCCATTCAAACTTGTCACATCGTGACCAAATATATTTAATTTATTTCATGCAAATGTAAAGTAACCTTTGTATTAAATGCTGTCAGGCCATAAACGACCACTTGATGTGGCCACCATCACACAAGGGGAAACCAGATTTTTCAGTGTATTGATGCTTGCATGGGGTAATTATGAATTATTCTCACCATATATTGAATTTTGGCAATGATGTGGATGTGCAAAAACAGCTTTGTGCCATTATCTGGTTCTGGCCGTGATGATATACGCGTCAACATGTTTATATCTTTGAAAATTTTAATTCTATTTCAGGTCTGGTGGCTGATATTGACATTGAGTCTGAAAAGTATCGGTGGATGGGAAGTGCTCGTATAGATTTTTATGTCAGTAAACCCCGCTATAATCACCGTGCCATTTTTATTTATGATGCATTTCTTTCATCAATACGTATCTTTTTTATATGAATTATTGTTGTAGTTATTTCTAGTACTTTGGTTGAAGGCGAGAACACAAATGAAAGATCAATTGTCGTATTATAAGCTATCTGCACAGTTTGCAATATAAATTTTTTCGTGTTTATGTAGGATGCTTTAAGCCAGAATACTGGATATAAAATGTTATTTTGATTTCTTGCATTATAGATTCATATATAGGTAGTAGCAACCCACTTCAGTGCCAATCTAGCTTAATGATATGTCTGTGTTATACTTGTACGGTGATTACTTCGACTTACAAGGATTGAAGTTATTTGTTATTTTCTTTAAATTACCTGTTGTTGTAGGCCCTCACTCGAATATTCCATTTGAGGCAATACAATGGATGTCTTTGTTTTGTGCCTGCACCTGGGTTTGAAGCTTTCGGGGAGCCTACTAGTTACCCTGGCAGTTCTCGTAGCAAAGGCAGCGAAAGGGAACGAATTGATGTGGAACCTGTGAAGTCACAAAGTCGAAGTTATCAGGGACCTGAAATTGACTTGGAGAATCTGAGTTGGAGAGTTGTAAATGGACCATTTATTTCTGTCTGGCTTCATAATGTTCCTTGGGGTGCTGAAAACACCAAGGCAGCACCAGATGCAAAGGTTGGTTTTATGTGTAAGAATCTATGTGTATCATTTCTCTCTCATAATGTTGTAATGAGAACTGTTTCCTGTTGCTGACGTGGCAGTGTTGGCGATATTATTAGAATGGATCCAAACTGGTCCCGTGAAGGCGGAAAGGGGTTCTCTCTTTTTTTAGTGCAAACTGCGCTGTGCATTTAGTGTATATTACACTTTTCGCATAAGCGAAAATTAATGAGGAATGACTGTTTACAGAATAATATGGTTGATTTTAATGATTATTACTTTTCAAAATATTACTGTAGAGAATGCATCGACAGAGACACTAAAATTGTCTCTTCATATTGAAGAGGGGCATCTTCATTTACAACTGATGATATGTATTTATAGCCATGAGCTAGACTTGACAATTCTTTTTTTATTTAATTTATGAAATGCAGTTCTCAGATGGTTATCTTGACTTGATCATTATGAAGGATTGTCCAAAATTACCATTGCTGTCAATGATGTCAGAGTTGAATAATGGAGGTCATGTAAAATCGCCGTATGTCATGTACCTAAAGGTGTGGTTGCGATGTTTCAGCGTAATACTTATGCCAGAAATTTTTTCCTGCTTTGATCTATTTGGATAACAAAATTTGCTACTTCTGTATCTTGCAACAAATTATAGGTGAAAGCTTTCGTGTTGGAACCTGGCCCACGCTCGGGGGCCCAAGAGAAGGAAGGGATCATAGATGCAGATGGTGAGGTTCTGGCGAGGGGGAAAGGATCGTACCAGTGTGAGCATAAGGCTTTGATGGCCTATGATAAACTTCAAATAACAGTGGATCAAGGTTTAGCTACTTTTTTTACCCCTATATAGAAAGTCTTGATTTTTATGCCCAAAAAAGGGAAAACAAAATAAAGAAAGGAAAAGCTCCTGGTTTAATTATTTTCCGCAATTCATTCTATTTCATCATCCAATGCCTCTTGCTGCAATTGCACACATGTAGATATAAGTTGAACCTTCTGCAGTTCCACAAGTTATTTATACTGTACAGCGGGGACATAAAGGAATCAGAATAATTTGTATTAGTTTCCTTTACACCAGAATATTGGTATAGATGACACACCCAATCTGTATAAACAAGCCTCTTGATCTACAGTATAAACTGATAGTGTTGTAAATGCGTTTTATGTGAAGTCCCTTGTTGTTTAGGGCCAAACTTAATTTTTTTCAAACCTTGGCACACATTTCAAATGAATGAAAGGAATCAAATTTAAATTTCATATTTTTAGGTCAAACTATGTTTCATTCAAATGTTGACTTGACATGTGAGCGTAAAAAGTGTTGACTTCCCTCATACTTGTTACACACTTTAGTTCGTACTTTATCGTCATCTCATATCAAAATAGCGCACGTAGATTCTTTGAAAACTGTCGCAAGGATATTTACGATGAATTAAATAAAAGTTTTATAAATTTTTAGAAGTCATTTAGGATTTAGAACTTGTAGGTATCAACAAAAATTAGAAGCTAGATTTATGTAATTTTAATCGGCATCTTACATATAAAATTATATGCAATGTTACCTTTCATATAAAATGATGATAAAAATGATAATAGAAAGTATTTATGTGGCTACCTCAATAAATATCGTCTAGCCCCGCCGCTGATTAACTATATGGTGTTTGTGAAAATTGTACAAGATGACAAGAATATGTGTGTTGAAAAAAAATATATATTTTGGCTTAAATATATTTAGTTTCTAAATTTTTGTATTTTTTTTCTTTTAGTTATTTTCTTGTAATTTTTTGGTTTAATCTCCTTTATTAACGTGATTTCACCAAAAAAAATTGATGAGTAAATAATCTCTTTAGTCCTTACATTATAATATCTTTTTAATTTCATTCTTAACTTAATAAAAAGTTTATTTAGTCTCCAACTTATTTAAATATATTTCAAGTTAGTCTCTAAACCTTACGGGATTTTTTATTTAAACATATTAAGTGACATATCACTCTTTCAAAGAGAATCCTGCAACTCTTTAAGAGGATAAATATTAAAATTTACATTAAGTTTTACCTTACACAAAAACGTTTTAAGTTATTATTTTCTCCCTTATCTGCTCTAAATCTCCATTCAATGTTCATTGTCTAACTTTCAATATTAGTCTAATTGCTAATTAAGTTGATATTTAATACATCAGATGAACATTTTTGTTGAGTGTTATTAATGTTTATTAATGACAAAGATCAATATGATAGGATTTTTTTTTTTTATCAATTCAAGGACTAAAATAAAATATTTATTAAATTGTAGACGAAATTGAAAAAAGGATTAAAAAGTTTAAAACTAAAGTTCTGATTTACTTTAAATTGGCTCGTGCCATCCTCTTAATTAGCGTTAGTGAGATACCAAAATAAAAATTTAACAAAAATGCATAGACCAAAACAAATTTTGTAAAAGTACTAAAACAAAAAGCTTATAAAAATGTAGAGACTAAATATATATTTAAGTCATATATTTTTAATTCTAATAAACAAGGTTAAATTTGATTATAGTGTTCAATATGTTTTTAACTAATTTTAAATTTAATAATTCTTATTTTTTATTTTTTTATTTTCACTTTATAAAATGACCTGGCATGTGAATTTTTTATTCTGCTTTGAAACGTTAATCAGGATTTTGGTTATTCAGTTTTGATCACACTTTTTAGGATATTAATTATTTTAAATTACATGAAACCAGTAAATGATATGATTTCCTGACCACTTACTTGCTCACTTTTACTTTGCATGCCATACAGCAAATATGCATGTAATTCGGCGACAGTTGATCGTCTATTGTGAATGCATCGAAGCGGGTGACTTGTGTTGTGTCTGGAAACTGGATCATTTTCACTAGCCATAGAGATTGTGAACAAAAATGTTATAGTGGTTATTTATTTTTTCTTGTCTGACATGCAATTGCAACCTAACAGTGTGGTTGGTTAATGTATGTTGTGTAAGAGGTATTTTGAGACTCTAGTTCTATCAATCTTGAAGGGTCAATATTAGACTGATAAAACGATCATAGTGCGTTGGAAATGAAATAAAAGAAGGGAAACTAAGTAGTAAAACTTGTAGCCCTTGCAAATAAAGGTCATAATGCTGATAAGTAACAATCCCATGATTTGTCTTCAGGTGTGAAACTACGATATTGGCGAGAACTTCCAACGACATTTTCTGCCCAGAAGTTTCCTTTTTTCTAACACTTTTTTGGCAATGCGTGCTGGTCACCAATTTGCTTAATTGTACCTCAAGAAGTATTTGACTTATTTTTTAATTAGATTGATAAAAATGCTTGTTTTAAGATATCTCAAATTCTCAATGTGACTACACAGATATATAGAATTGAATTAGAAGGATATTAGAGAATTGATTTCTCATTTTATACAAATCTCAACCCAATATGCCCCTGGAGAATGTAATTAGGCTACAAATTAATCGATTGGCTAAATGTTTATTCTTACACAACTTCTTAATTTGACAAAACATATAGATGGCTGAATTTGCAGGTATCACAAACTTGATGTCTCATCTTGCATAAGACAATTCAGTATAACAACGCACGTAGGCTGCATATGGATTGGTCATATTCTCTTATTCTTACACACCTTTATTTTATTTTATTTTTATTGAGAAGAATACAGAAATTTTTTAATATTTTTTGTTAATTGATGCTAACCAGTATGAACATAGGTTAAAGAAGAAAAGTACAACCCTATTTTTTTTTCAGACGGGGAGTATGTTCATTTGCTGCATATGAACAAATATAAATTTGTCTTTCTGAATCACCCTTCTTTCTAACTTCACCAGCTGTTCTGCTTTATTGGAAGGTCCAGTTTGTATAAGTTTCTAGATATTATAGAAGAAAAAAATTAATATAAAAAATAAATAGAACTCCTCCCGTGTTTTTCTTCCTTTGTAATTTTACTTGTTGATTTCATTTAGTCATAGATAATAAGCTAGGTACTAACTTATGATGCTAACTGAAAAGTTTCAGAATAATGGTTTTACTTTTTGATAATTGATTTCGATTGTTGTAATACATATTTTGTACGTACTTGGGGAAGCAACAGTTGTCTAGTACAATTGCTATAGAAGAGTGAGAATCTGGTTTGATGTTTTTTCTTTTTTTTTTTCTGCACAAGCTAATTTAAATTTGGTTAACATTACCAAGCATCTTATACAAAAGGCATATACTTTTTTCTCTTGGGGCGCGCAAGGTACGTGTGAAAAACTACCTTATTGGCTTGGCAAACGAACATATACCAACCATTTTTTAAATTGATAACTAGAAGTTTAAGGTTCTATACACCAACGACCATTCTTGGTCAAGGCTCAATGCATCCCTGGAAAACATGATCAAATCTCAATTCACTGGGAAGGTGCGAAGACAAGAGTTCACTCTTCAGTCCTTGAGTTTACTATTATATACTTTTTTATTTTTTATCAACAAATAGATAATGAACAGAGTCTCCCATACAACACATGTAGGAGGAAGAATGAAGCCTGAAACTAACTCCACAAAACTATCGTCTTCTAGGGCAACAAAAATTACTCATCAGTATGTTAAACAAAATCATTATGATCATGTGGGTAAGTTTAGTACACACAAAGGGAAATAAGTGAAAATCCTTAGTCATAAAGGTGAGACAGGATTACATATTGAAATATTTGAGTTCTTATGATTCAGAACTGAAATGTCCAAAACTAAACATTCAAGTATTAATGATAATAAAACAAGCTAATGGATCGATACATATGCAACTCTTACGATGAAGAATATTAAGATAAATGTGGAAACAAATTAATGAGGTCACAGTCATATGGCTCCAACCCTCCTAGCCAGCGAAATTGCTAACGAAGAAACCCCAGGTCGAGATCTGATTTAAAATTTGATTGGAACTGGTCTTTAAGGTTGGGTCTTACCAGTGCTGGTTTCACCAGTTTGGAACCTGGGGTTCCACCAGTGCTGGTTTCCTTGGATTGCAATCAAAGTGTCCTTGGCAGAGTTGGAATTCAAAGAAAGCACAGGATGCACATGTTGCCACGTTACACACACATTTTTAGTAACAAAGAAATCAATATTCAGAAACGACATTTTGAATGGAATTGGTCTTTGAGGGCTCTGTCTTCCCACTCTAAATTGTTCCACCAGTGAACTCGTCCATCGATTGCAATCAATGTGTCCTTGGCAGAGTTGGAATTCAAAGGAAGCTTCCTCAGCTTTGGGCAATAATCTACTGAGATGAATTTTAGGGAAGGAAAAGCCAATGCTCTCTTGTAAATGCTCTCTAAAGGCCAAGCTGTCCCACTATCTTCCGTCACCACTTCTTCAATTGAATCACAGTTTGATTGTTCATTGTCGACAAAGATTCTAATATCGACGCCATTTCAAGTTGGTCCTTGCTTCCATTAAGATAACAACATGTTGAGCAATCCCGCAATTTGCTGGAGTGAAGTAGTTTATGCATGCCAGCTAAGGTTGATAACTCAATCCACAGTTCCTCCAACTTCGGTCCGGACTCCAACTTCTCTAAGAATGTTTTCTCTCCCTTGAAATTTTCAAGTTTCCATATATTTACAATTCTAAACACTCTCAATCGCAGCAAACTTTCTATCACTTCCAAAGGAATTATTTGAAGATCAAATCCAACCTTTTCCATGAGCAAGACCCTTAAATTTTCCAAATTCTTCAGATCAGTTGGAAACCTTTTTTGTATACTTGTCATTGACAGATTAAGGAATTCCAAGTTGATTAACTTGCCAATTTCCGAGGGAAGATGCTCAATTCCGATTCTTGACAGATCCAAGACTTTCAATTTTGACATAAATTGGAGAGTTGAATACGGATTAATGTTTTTCCTTATACATAAAGTGATGAGATTTGGACACAATGGCACTCGCCAACTTTCTCCAGCATTTATAATTGAAATCCTCTCTACAGCATTTAATCTTTCAAAATTCATTTCTGATTCTGTTGCTAATGTTTCTCCCTCAACAATGACTTTGTCTTTATTTACATCTTGATCACGGAATAACCATAATGCCATATCTCTGATCACATCATGCATCTTAATCGAAGGTAATTCATGAAAATCATCTTCAACAACGCCCTCCAACAGACATGAAAGCTTTAGTTTTTCAACAATAGATTTTCCTTGCACATGCATGCCATATATACTCTTCTTTGTCTTATCTTTATCAAGAAATCCCTCTCCTATCCATCGATAAATAAGACCATCAACTTCAATTTTAAAATCTTCTGGATATAATGCACAGTATAAGAAGCACAGCAATGACCTACATTATGCTCACAAATCTTAAGGTTATAATTGGCATGGTTCTACAGAAGCACCAGATGGTATGTCAACCGCTGTCAAAGGAGGAAGCATCATCTTCATGCAGATTAACTTAATAAGCAACTAAATTAATTCAGTCTGCTTTTAAGGGATTCCTTTTGCAACCAATTGGTTTTTAAACTCGAAGGTGAGCCTGTAGGTGGTTCCTGCTTTGCAGTTTTATTAGTATAGTAAATAATTTTCCAAGAGGAACATGGAGCATTGTTGGTGGCATCCTTATGTTGTACCATAGTTATGCTCATGCAAGAGTTCTTTGAAGCTGTGCAGCGGAGGCTTATGAATGAATATATATCTAACACTATCCACACTCTTATTCTTCCTCTTTAAAATGCTACGGTACACTACGCAAGAAAATTTTTAACGAGAAAAACGAAACGTCTTTCTTTACGTGTAAAGTTTATAGTAGCTTCCACCTTATCTATACTTTTATAAATCTTTTTTAGAAGGCCATGCGTCAACTCCCTGTGCCATTTTTTCTTGCTCAACTACTGTGGCTTTGATGTCATTTTTGTGCAAATTTCTAATGTTTTAAATTAAAGCATTTTGGGCTCAACCGTGCAAAGCACTAGCCTGTTATATAGTTCTCTGTAAAGGAAATTCGTGATAGCCTTTTCTTATTTGCCATGTTAGGCACGTGTACAGAGGACTCAGCATTTCTTCACGGGGGTTGCTTCTTGCACTCCCTTCTTTCCACTTGCAATCTTTCTTAATTTGTTTTAGTCTTTTCACAAATACCCTATTAATATTAGGGTTAATTTTTTTAAGTTAATATAATAATTACTAATGATTCCTATGCAATTGAATCAATCTCTTTATAAAAACTAGCAAATATCTTCTTTTGTCCGTATATATCAATCATTAAAGTTATTGTAATCATGTACATGTTAGTAATAAATTATTTCATTAATCTTTTTAGATTTAGGTGAAGGATGACGATTTACATAATAAATTTTCTTATTTATATTCATATTCATTGTTAAAATATTTTTTTTCTTGAAATTTAATTTCTAGAATTAACAAGTTTTCATAAACAAAGTTTTAAAAACTTTTTATATTTATTGTTCTTATTCTTACAACAATAAAGTGTTATTACTTAAACCATTTCTTATATTTGAAAATATATCTAACGAGCATAATTTTTATTTGAAGTTATTATAAGAACTTCAAAAATAAAAGTATATAACTAAAGTTAGTTAGTGATTATGTGATTAATTAAAGAAGTTACGTACGGTTTATATTTAATTCTAATAGTTTAAATAATATATACTAATTTATACAAGTCAATTATAGAAGTTTATTTTTTTCAAAGTTCATTCTCACTTAATATGGCCTTATACTTTTCTACATTCAAATTTCACTCGTTGAAAATAAAGAAAAAAGGAAGATAAATCGAAAATTGGTGGAGCAATGAAAAAAGGTGCTTTGTTGGTGGAAAAAATTGAGATGGAAGTGAACAGAAGATAAAAAGGAGCTGAAAAGTGAAAAGATAAAAGAGAGAGATGATTTAAATTTGCAATATGTTTGCGGTGAAAAATTATAATTATAAATAAATAAATTCAAAAGCAATTTGGTTTTAGATCTTCTTAAGTTCTTTTAAGTGTATTGTAATTAAAATGATTGAATAAACATCGTAAAGCATAAATTCAAGCAAAAATAGTAGAACATAATAGAATAGAAACAGTATCAATTGAACATAAAGGTTTATAGAAGTGTACTAAACAAAGACGTAATTGTAGAAAACAAAAGCATAAAATGAACTAAACTAGAAACAAATTGTAGAAAAAGTAAACGTACGACTCTCAGCAATAAACAACAACCATCGTGAGTCTCCTAATAGTTGATGTTTGGCTTGGTGCAAAATTTTAGGGTGTAGAGATTTCTAGGTGCAGTGTCTGGGTGCAAAACGTCGTCCTTGATGATGTCAAACTTGGTATTTATAAACAGATAGACCACCATCATTCTCCTTTTTTTGCTGGCACTTCTCAGTAACTGTCTTCAACCGTTGATACCTATTATCCATGACTGACTTTGATCGTATTGTTGGTTGTAACTTTTTCTATAACTACTGGTAATCGCTCATGAGCCTTATAATTCTTTTGGTATCATTTTTTGAGCCCTATCATGTCTCTCATGGACTTAGAATATTTTTCCTTTAATTTTCTATTTTTCGAGCAATTCTAAGAAGAATCTAAGAGCTCGTTTAGTTTTGTGGACTTAGAATAGTTTTCTTCTCAATTTATATCTTTTAGCAATTCGGAAGGGAGTCTTTAATCCCACTCAGGTTTTGTGGTCTTAGAATATTTTTTTACTACTCCCTATTTTTCGAGTAATTCTAAGGAAGCTTCGGGGCTTGAATAAACCTATAAAATACTTCGGAATGTAATCTTTTCAACATACAACTTCTCTAGACCATTTGAAACTCCTTGAAGAGTAGTTTGTTCCGACATGAACTATATAGGACTTAGAATATTTTTTATCAATTCTCCTTTTTTTGACCAACTATGACTTACTTCATTCTGGAGACTTGAAAAAAACCCCCAAAACTCCTCGAAATGGAGATCTTCCAATAAGATTTTAAGACTTAGATAATTTTACTAGTCCTTGATTTATCAATGTGGGAGCCTAAAATCCTTTGATTCTAATCGAAAGCTATATTCGAGCTACTAAATTTTGATATGTATTTCTTTTTGAGAGAATATAGTCTATATCTTACAACGAAAGTCTGACAGGAGACTTTATAACTTAAAAAAAATTTCTTTTCCCAAACACAATAAAAGTTTTTTTAAAATGAAATTTAATATAGAAGTGCAAATAGAAAATAAGTGGGTTGCAGAAAGCAAATCTCTTTCATTCTAAGTGGAAAATCCAGCCTACACGAAGTCCATCTCTCAAGTATCACAAATAAAGTTCATGAGAAAAAAAGTTCATAAGAAAAGTCTAACTTAATAATCTATTAAAAGTTTAAATATGTTGTTAATCCTTGTAAATATGATTAAATTTACTTTCATTCCTTAAATTATTGTTGCAGATTTCAATTTTCATAAATTATAAAATTTTTAAAAATATTTGTATCATTACTTAATAATGACATAATATGTATTTAAATATGTTACATCAATAATCAAATGACATGTGAGGGACAAGTCTACATGTACAACACATTGTCAAGTGAGAAAAAGTATTTTTAAAAATTTTAGAATTTGTATGAATCAAAACCATTTATTTTTGAAAGATTAAAAAAATGAATCTAATAATCTCTATGATGACTAAAAACATATTCTATCTTCTATCAAAAACTTATTTGTTTTATCTACTGTATAACAGAATTTTCTTCCTCAAGGTAATTTTAATTAAAGTATTTTTAAGATTTAATAAAAATATTCATTGAGTATAATTATTATTTTAAATTTTAGCCATATATTTATATACTAATGTTAAAATTAAAAGTTAGTACTTATACGACTACTTAAAAGTCATGTAATTTTTATTCAAACTTGATCATTTAATAAAATTTAACTATTTATATTTATTGTTTTTATTCTTAGAATAATAAAATATTATCACTTGAATACATCCAATGAGCATAATTCTTATTTAAAGATTATGAGAATTTAAATATAAAGAAGTTATAGACAATTTATATATAATTTTAATTTAATTATACAATATTATTTTTCTTAAATTTCATTCTCACTTAATATGATGTTATCCTTATTTATATTAATTGATGCTAATTAGTATTTACATAGGTTAAAAAAGAAGTAGAAGCCTATTTTCTTTTATTATTTTTCTTTTAGACTTTGTTGTAATTAGTCTTCAGGTTTTCAATAAACAGGGGAAAACTTTATTTAATTTTCTTTTTAAATTGGATGTTATCCAACTGATTTGTTCACGCTCTTGTTTCTCAATTCTGTTCATTTAGTCACTGAGACTTGCAGTATATAAAAGTCATGCATTTCGGTACTCAATTTTTTAATAATCATTTGGTATACGATATGTACTTGAGTAATGATATTTTATTAATCAAATTTTATGTTCCCATAATGAAAATAGAGGAATATAAAAGTCCCGCATTTCAGTACTCATTTTTTTAATTAAAGACTAATGACATCACTTATAAGTTACAAATAAAGAATATTAAATATAAAGAGCATGATGAAGATATAGCAACATAGCAATCTTATAAACATAGAACGTAAAAAAAATAAAATATCAATCTCACTTCTCTCCCAGACAATCTAATCTCAAGAAGAAGAAAATGTGTTTTCCTTCGATAAAAAAGAGAGATAACGAGGAACCAAGAAATCGTGAGAAAATCTCCCACCAAACAGCTTTTGATATAACTGAAAATCATTAGAAGCGTTTGTAACAAAGAAATCGGCATAGTATCGTGGCACTCTCAGAATCGACATTTTGATTGGAATTGGTCTTTAAGAGCTCTGTCTTCCCACTCTAAATTGTTCCACCAGTAAGATTCTCCTATGATTGCAATCAATGTGTCCTTGGCAGAGTTGGAATTCAAAGGAAGCTTCCTCAGCTTTCGGCAATGATTTACAGAGATGAATTTTAGGAAAGGAAAAGCCAATGCTCTCTTGTAAATGCTCTCTAGCTTCGGCAGGCCATCAAGGCGAAGATGTGTAAGATTTGAAAATATATGACTATCAGCCTCCTCTCTATCCGCCCCACCATCTTCCTTCACCACTTCTTCAATGGAATCACAATGCCAAACATTAAGATACTCAAGAAGCGGAGCATACCTCAGCCATGTCAAATGAGTTATTGATTTGCATTTACCAACAGTCACCCTTCCA